CTACAAATTGCGAAGGAAACTTATCATTATTATTTAATCGAGTGCCTCCCACTGTTTATGACATTGTCCCATTTTCGCACAACCCCACTACCCGCAAATCCCCCTATTGTACCCCAGCCTGACTGTAAACGCATGATCGTGCCAGAGGGTATGCCACCCACAAATTGGGAATATACATTATTATTATTATTATTCCCCGCATCCATTCTGGAGGGTTACCAGATGTATGACAACGCCGCCGAAAGAAGACCAACAGCAGTTGGCAGATAATGGCAGCGCCATTATACGGAATCCCCGAAATTAAGGCCAGCCCCAGAAACGGAGCTGATGAAGCAGTCGTGCCATTAGAGGAATGGCGAGTTCGCGAAAGCCCCATTGGGCAGTGCAACATGGAGGCCTTTGTGCTTGGCGTACTTGACTGCCATACGAGACCCTTATCATTTATGCACCTTACCAGGTATGCAAGATTTCAAGCCACAAAGTTTTCATGAAAGTAGCTCACGGGTTAACGAGGATCGCCTGCTACCAGATATTTTATCCAGCAGGAGGCGAGCTAGGTAAATGAAGCAGCCCGCTCGACCTGAACAGGCAAATAATCAACAGCTCCGGCAGTGGCGTAGGTTAAGAGACGGAAAGCGAAACAGCGGCCACTACTGCAATAATATAAATGTGATGTGGATGTTTAGAGCGTGCACGTTGACGAAGCTTCATTGTGATTCACCAGTTGAGTCAGACGCGGACAGCATGATAGAATTGTCTCCTTGGTTTTGCATTCTCCTTCTTTCAGCAGTTCCTATCAAACTGAAGTTACAACGATCTAATCAAGCCCATATTGGCATAATCCGTGCCTGTTGAGAAATTAGCCCATTATTTTTGGGTGTGGCTAAGTAAGGTACCAAGCCAAATACAAAATTCAGCCGCTGTGTTTCATCTAAACGCCTATTTTAGTGTAGCGCCGCATGAGCAGAGGATATAAGGTGGCAATGGACCATGAAAAAACGCATGTATGTCAAATTACCTCAGTTTGATGATGTCAAAACATAGATCTAGAATTTGGACTGAATTGAGAGAGTAAGCCAGGATACAAACCGGGATATATAAAAGGGCAATCAGTTATTCAAACGAAGACAAAAAATAAGATCAGCGTAAACGCGCATAGAAAAAATGCTCAGGCATAACACGTTTGTACTACGAAAAGAAATGTAAATGCGTTCATCGGAATTGGATCATGAAGCGCATACAGCAGTTACCCCCGAAGATCAGGCGAAATACGACTGTTTCAAAGCAAAATAAAATTGAATAACCCACGGGTGTAGGCGCACAAATGTTATGGTGAAACGAAAAGATTAGTTCAGAAGGGCTTGGAGCGCTCTCAGAAAGAGGTGTTTGGTGTTTTGATGCGGAATAGTTTCCATCCCCAAAAAAACAGTAGGCGGCAAGGTTGCTTCGAAAGCTCCTCCAGGTGGATATGTTTAAGGTACTGAAGGGCAACTCGTCTGTGTTGGTGACGACCTACGCCGGACCTAGGACACCCAGTTTACAAGGGGTCTTGCCCAACTGACAGCCGATGGAGACCGTGTGGTGGTGCAATAGACGCCGAAAGAAAAATAGTAAACACACATTGCGTTCTCCACAGCAGGCCTGTAATCACCGTGAAGTGATTCCAGGGCTGATTTCAAAGATGAGTACCACAAATTTAGGATGATCCCTGGAAATGGTTTGCTGTGCAATATGAATGCCGTGCGAGCACAAACTCTGTTAGCTCTGGTCACGCAGTACCAGGGAGTATCGTGGAAGTTTAGGCGGAGAGATGCTCGGGCCCCAAGTTTTCCGTGCTGAGAAAAGTAGAGATCACCAGGACAAGCCGCTCAAAAGATATAGAATAGACAGTGGAAGTTTACGTATTTTGGAGTGAGTTAGTTCAGAATTCCACTGTACTCCTAATTGTTTTACATGGGCCAAGCTCTAGTTTGGTCTGATGAGTAATGCTTATATCTTAAGATCATTATTCGCTGCATGAAATAAAAGCTGGTAGGTCCCTAAATGTATGGAGTTCAATGGGCTCAAAAGATATAGAATAGACAGTGGAAGTTTACGTATTTTGGAGTGAGTTAGTTCAGAATTCCACTGTACTCCTAATTGTTTTACATGGGCCAAGCTCTAGTTTGGTCTGATGAGTAATGCTTATATCTTAAGATCATTATTCGCTGCATGAAATAAATAAAAGCTGGTCCCTAAATGTATGGAGTTCAATGGGGCGAGCATAACTGTGGTATACCTCGGTTCTGCCAGCAAATGCGAAAGTCGGTAAATAGAAGGGAACCAGGTGTTTTTGGTGCATAGTATAGTGCAAAGTCGAACGATCTAACGACAAACACCGTCATCACTTTGAATGAAGGGTGTAAGGAGAAAATGGTGTCTTCGAGTGACGCGTAATGCCATAACGTCGCTGATTTTCTAGGCGGTACCAATCATGTAGATCAAATTCACAAATCATACAAACCACGACAGTAGATACTCGCCCAAAACAAATGGTCCTCTTGGACTACAAAAGTACGAAACAAACGAGCAAACAGACTTCCATGTAAGACAGTCGCACGTGCATAAAATCGGCCAAAAATGGTTGGACAAATGGGTGAAGTGGTAGGGGCAAAAACACCGGTTCATTTAAACGCACTAAACACAAAAGTGGGGCGAATGTTACGACGCGGGGAAATTCAAATGTCAACGTGCTGGACGATACACACGACATTCAGCCGAGACCAGTAGGAATAGTTTTTGAATATTGTGGCAATATTTGCATGTCAGTTCCGTAATTCACAGATGCCAGTCGTCAGATAGCCGCCCATGCGATTGCACTCTTGAGAACCTGATGTCGTACCACTTTGTGTAATGTGACAGCCAAGCACTTGGATCTTATTAGGGGATCTAAAGCTACCAGATCACGGAAAACGCGCCAAAGCTCCTTCGTGTCAGGGCCAGTTTACACCGCACAAAATTCACGTGCAGCGGAATAATATACGCGATCCTCTTTGCAGGCTGTTCGAGGCTGTTTCGCGGAGGCGTGCCAGCACAGAGGCTCCACAACCCACGAAAATATAGGCACCTGATCCCATGAAAAAGCCTCGAAACCTGCAAAGGTTTTTCTAATTTGTTTGCAGGATGATGGCAATCGAATAACGCTAGCAAAAATTCATGGAACTGTTCAGCATTACAGCTGCTGTGTAGTCTTGTCAAAACCCTGACAACTCCCGTGATACGCCCCAAATTTTGGGGAGTTAACTGCCAACTATTAGACATAGGCAAACTAGACAGAGAAACAATTTGAGCGCACCCTCAGAAAAGCTGTTCTCTAATTTTTGTCCCGAAACAGTTCGATTTCGTAGACCTGGCACGAATTTAACAAAGTACCGCTGTTACAGGACAGCCCAAATGACGCCAAAGACAATAGAATGTAATATGATGCAATTTCTCTTGGTTTGAGCACGTCTTTCGCGGTGACTCAGCGGAAATATACGTTTTCCAGTCCGTAGATTTATGGGTTAGGCAGTAATTTGACGGTGGAGAAGAAAACTTGAGAAGTTCAAAGTAGCCATGAACATGACGACAAATTGTATCGCCAATAGATTTTAGTAAAAGACCGAATCTTGGTTTTTCGGTAGACGGGTAAGCAAAGTGTTGCTGTTAAGCGATAAAAGCTTTGTATGCGCATAACTACGTCAGAATGGTTCAAGTGCTCACTTCAGTAATAGCTTCTGAGCGAATCCACAGTCCGCAACCTTCCACGCGTTAGAAAAACAGATTGTAAAAAATTATATAGGTCCAAGAATGTTGAGTGGCTCTCTCGATCTGGGGGTACATATTGTTATTGGTTTCTCAGATGTTTAACATAGACAACCATTCTTCCACGTGGTAGAAGGACATTGTCCTACCAAGCCACGATATTTACATCCACTTAGCGCTCGGTAGCTGGGGGCCCAAAGGGCCAACTGACATTCTGTTGAAGGCGATGTGATGCCTCCCGAATTAGGCCTTTGTATACCACCTCTTCAGAAGCAACGCTGGGAATTCCAGCGAGAATCGCCCTGGTGATCAGCGAATTCCATTTCAAGAGAACTTATTATGTGGGCTCAAACTAATTCTTTATCCTAGGACCGTTCATTTTCTGATCTATCAATGATCCGCTTTATATGCCACCAAGTTTAGGGTCCCTGTTTCCGGCCATTTTAACTCAGTAGGCATCGATGACGCAAAGCAATGGTCACCAGAATAGCATCTGCCTGCAATTCACTGAGGGTGTGCCTAGCCGTCGTTGGAATGGACTCAGTGAACATGTTCCGCGTACATGGTAATTACGGACAGGCAAATATTATGAAGCCAGGTTTCATAAAGAACCCAGGTGACTCACACTTTTCAGATGTTTTTTCCCACTATTATTCAAAAATGGACCCAAAAGAGATTCGTTACGTTCCAGATCAGTCGGCGCGAATTCCCCTTTACTGCTTGCACGGATTTCGAGATACTTTTGGATTCCATCTCAGGCTGCCTCTTGAATACGTCGAAAAAGTTGTCTGCACGGGAAGTAAGGCTTTCAAACTGAAACGCGCTGGCTGTAAATAGTTCTAGAGTCCCTCAAACTCTATCCCATAGACAGTCATCAACTCCAGAGAGAACTGCAGGATGGCTTGAACCATTTTATTGCTGATCTAAATATTACACTTCAGAGACAGTGAAGAGTTTTGGTTGCTTATGGTCCCCATCTTATCACACGCCTACTTTCATTTCTATTGTTAGGCCCACAGAATAAAGTTCCGTCAGTATTACTTAAAAGCGACACACAAAGATCTGTTTGTTCCCTTATGGGGACGAAAACCAATGAAACCAATTGGAAATCCAAAATGCGAAGTAAAAATCTACTTGAACCTTTACCTCTTGTTTGAATTAATAAAACGTGCGCAATCTCATAACAATAAATTTGCGTGAATTTAGATAATAACACAATGGGCGAAGAATTTACGATCTGTCGTGCAGATGAGTCACACATTACCAAAACACTTAGCTTGATAGACCAATGTGCACTTGATGCATTTGGGAAGATCAATTTGCTCAATATCTTGTAAGAGTTTTAAAATTGGCTTACAATGCAGTGAACGAGCTCTAATATCTTTAGCGGTGTTAAATAAAAGCGAAGAAGTCATTGGGTGCGCATGCTTCTCTGACGCACCAAGCCAAAAATATTGTGAACCTGAGAACTGGCGACCGTGGTTCGAAGGAGCTGTTGGATTGCCTGATGTTTCGTCGAAAAATTCCGTTTTCGTACAATTCATTACGGTTAAAGTGAAGCACGCAGAAGTCCCACTGAAAGAATTATGCAAGACAGTGTTCACCGAATTAATAGAAATCCAAAACATCTTCATGGTAACCGAATCAACGTCAAAATATGGTAAGATGTTTGTTTTATTTTTCAGTTCATTTATCACAGTCCTTTCGGAAACAAAACCATTCAGAATATGTGCAGAAAGTAAAAATTTGGGAAATGTCACTGTATCAGTTGCACACAGACATGAGGTCTTCCCGGTATTGTTCTCCAGAATGGCAATGTTAGATTCGGATTCACGTTAACCTTTCTTTCTTTAGCGTAGAGGATAATGATGACATCGTCCCGCTTTTTAACAGTCAAACTGACACGCTGCGTAAAACATATGGAAACTACTACATCGCGGAGCTCGTTGAAGCTCAAAGTGAAGAGCTTAAGTGTATCGTTGTAGAGGTAAGTTACAGCATAATCTGAATTTTCCAGTGTGAAAGAAGGGCCGTAGGGTTCGTAAGTGGAACGAGAAGAGTGGATTTCAATTCACTGAATGAGCAGTACGACTTAAGCATTCTCCATGGTCTTAAAAAGCCACACAAAGACGATATCCTGAACCAAGATGATGCTCCAAAACAAGAAAACCCCCATGATCATATAAAAGGTAAGTTTATGAAGACTCATATGAGTCTTGTAATCAGTGTCACGTTTGTAAGACTGAAAGTGGACTCAACGTGGTTTCCGAAGTTTGTGTTATGTTAACAACCAAACTGTAATCTTCTTAATCCACGCACAGGATAATAGGCCGTCCCAAAGAGGCTATAATTATCCAGTACTCACTTGGAATGCTAGTTGAGCAAGAAATGATGTTTTGTATCAACCAATCCTATTTTTTCATGTATTAGCCACTAACATGACTTTCATTTAAAGTTCACACCTTCAAATCTTACCCGCTTCAGCCAGCTAGTTTGATTCCCATTGTGCCACAAACGTTTTCATCACCTGGTAATGCACTGGTTTCTTTGGGCTTACAGGCAAATGTTAGATAAATTATGTCTTTTGTTACAAGAGATTCTGTTCAAAATATGGATAATGTTACTACGAGTTGGTATCGTTAATGAACCATTTTTTCAAAAAATAATGCAATATGTAGATGCACACCATCTGTTTTCCAAAGAACACATCTGTGTGGTGTTTCTGGGGTCGTATACTTCCAAACATGACAAGCACTCGGGCTGATATTTCCTTTATCGTGAACTGATTAACTCAACGCGGATTAATAGCTGATTATCCTGATTTCTGAACACACTCGTGCCTACCTGAAGTAGTTTGTCTCATAATTCTCCAGGACCGCTTAAGGTGCGGGAAATTGCTTATCATTTGGGGGGCTGGCATTTCCAGATGTTAGCCAAATTAACCAGAACTATCTTCTGGAGTCCCTTCCAAATATTCTACCATCAGATGCGAACTCATACTAGGACGAGGTCGGCACTTCTTTGTAAAGTGTTTGGAGTCCTGCTCACTCAAGCATTCGATATCAGGCCGAACAGTGCTAGTGCATAGAGCTCGGAGAAATATCTCCGCCTGTCACGAACGTAACTTAACCCGGCGAATCATCAGAGGTCAGGTAAATATAAGCAGGTAGGCCATCCATCAAGTCTAGAGAACACGAAATGGCAAAGAAACGGAAGAGGCTTAGAAACTCGGAAATGTTTGAAGATTATTTCAGTTGATCACTGCAACATGTCTTCAGAAAAATCCCTATGACCGAAGCCATCAAAGATCAGAATAGAGCCACCATCTTAAATGAATTAGAATTCGCCGACAATTTTTCGTCCGGGAAATCAGCTGCTACTAATAATGCGATTGAAGTTGGTTATATCGATTCTGTTTATCAGCAGTCTTTTAAGACCATACTCTACTTTTTTTTACCTTAAAAGCCTCTATCTATCGTAAAATCAATTCCATACCAAAACAATGATAGAAACACCGTCCGTTTTACAATGTGGCCACAGATCCTGTTTGAGTATGGCAGATTATAAGGGTTTTATGCCAGAATAATTTACTGTAGCAGTTGGAGATAAAGTAAATCGCTGATGGGACACTAATGGTGGGGTTAACACAACTACTTTGACAGTTCACGGTTGGTATCACTCTTCTTGAGACTCATTCAATAGGTGTATTTCAGGGGTTTCCGTCAATCTTATGTGCTACCTGAACCCAAACTAATGGAACTTTACGAAATACACTCGTTTGCATAGGTTTTGTCAAATAAATTTCGGCCTAATATCTCATTAGTGACACTTTTCATCTGGATACAAGGTTGACAGAAACTTGGGAACTGCGCCTACATGATGAGCTACATGACAGACAAAACCGCTCGGGTGCCATCTAGTAGATTTCAGCAGCCTTATGAATAGTATTTCGTCAAAAATATACTCCGGCATCCCGAATATCGTATCGACTGAAACATGAGGCGGCCCTCTTGTAGTACATTTAGTTGGGAAACATAATAAATCGAAGATTCACCCGGATTTCAGCCAACTCTTCTGTCACAAACAACTTAGCCTTCAAACTAAATTAACACCATTAGCATAATCATGAGTTGATAGTATCACACTTCCAAATGTTACCTTTTAAACTGCTGAAACAGTCAGATTCTTTATTTTTTCATATTTATGCTTTGTATTCCTGCCTTTGCATTTCCACCCCTCTTCGGCAAAGTACTCGTTAGTTCAACAGAGAGCGTCCACTCTAGCTTCAAGCCACAGCCATTTTTGTACGTAAACCAAAATTAGGTGGGCAGTGCTAATAATTTCTAATGGAGGTAGAAGAGCTGAGAACTGTTATTGTATTTTGAGCATCACCCACAACAGGAAATCTCTTCTTGATCTCCCGGATTACCCAGAAAGGAAAGGTTGTTCAAAATTGTTTGTGTTTTCTCCTTGTAAACTGGTGTACTGAGAGGTTTTGTCTTGGGTTGCTTAACGTGGACAGAATAACCGAAATCTGTTGGCGCCATATTTCACTACTGATCACAACTGATCACAACTGTTCCAAGCGCTTTTCGCTTACTTGTAGCCGGGCGAAATTGCTCTCTGATACTGATTAAGCATTAGCAGATTTTCCCCGTCCTGGAGAGTTTTGAGATAAACGCCAAGTATGGTTTGGTATTTGACCATAGTGCCCTTGTGAAGATCAGTACATTTGTTTGGCAATTTTATTGTAACAATGGCAGCGGTTTGAACAGTAAAGCTGCAGTAGTATTCAGTTAGCCAGCAAAGGAACTTGGTAAGGACTTGTCAACCAAGAACAAAAAGATACCGTCGGGTGGAATTTTCCACCAAATTGCCTCGGTCTAGTTGTGTTCAAACGGCTGTTAACGCACCAATATGCCATAATAAATAAACAGCAAAATTACTTAACCTGCCTAATAAACTATGAAAGCGCTGAGAGAACGGATCGCTTAAGCTGGAACCACAATATTTATGGAGTTTGATGCTTTGAAACTGTGGCCAAAGTGATAGCTTATGACAGCAGATTCACTGGAGTTTCAGTGGTCTAGTGCACCTCGTCATAGATCACCCGCTATAAGCAATGTCACCACAGTGACTGAGAGCCTCAACGATAAAAAGAATAGTCAAAGATACCAAAAGCTTAACAGTAATCGAAATCGAGATGCATTTGCGCCAGTTATCCCATGACAGGTATTGAATATTATATCTCCCGGGTAAAATTTTTTAAAATCTGACACAATGTTATGAGTTCATCAATGTCCGATTTCCGCCTTCCTTCTCATTCTGCACCAGAAAGTTACATTTCGAAGGAAGAGCAGATAGAACTGCAAGACCCAATAACGCGGTGTGAAACAAAATCCATCGGCGAAGAGACACCAGAAACTTGGATATGTCGGTCGTTTCTAGGGGAATCAACTCGCTGTTCGGAGTTTATTCCGACGTACGCTGGCGCACCAAATGCCTTTGCAATACAGCTCTATGCGTTTAAGCCGGGATTTGAATCAAGGTATATAACAAATGGCTTGCAAGTTTTCCTTTGGAGCAAAGGGTTTAGTTATATTCATTATATGAAACGATTTTTTCCGTCATTTACTGGGTAACTCCATAGGTGGAAAGGGATAGAACAAGTAACCTGAATAGGATACGTACTGTTTATAATAGTTTCACGAGTTCCTTCAATGTTAGATTCATTTGTGAAGGCAAAATTGTGTTTAATATTTGTTTCACGGTCAGATTACAGAATTAACACAGCGTCTACACATTTCACCAACAAGCTGCGATTCGTAGTTGTACCGCTGAATTAAAAAAGTGAACCGTGACGTAAACATATACATCGCGGGGTTATTTACTCAAAACATCTTGGCATGGCAGTTAAAGCACAACAGTATTCTATTCTGCATTTTCAGAAAAGTCAACATATATTCCAATAGAGATTTTATCCCGTCAGCAAAGCCAGTCTATGTGGAAAAGTCGAGAAACACTTCTCAGCTGTTTCATTCTCAATGGGACCATCAGCAATACCTATCCCACGAATTCCGCACCTGTGACCTCCCGGCTAGTGTCTTAAACATTTAACTTTTTGGCCACCAGCCAGTGATAAGCAGTGTGATCAAATATAACATAGATGGGATATAGCAACCCTGGTTCCTAAATCAGGGGATCCACATCAAGTGGCTAAATGATTGCGGCATTTTTGAGTGAGGACTTCGTGGATGAGAGGTTCATTCGTTGTGCGAATTATGCTCCTTTCTCCTGATTTGTTGGTTTTCAACCTAAGTTGGTCTGATTCACAGGAAAAAACCTTAAGAAATTTACACATTGAAGACGCTTTCACACAAAAATAGGTTTTCGCCGTAGACTTGCGGCGTTCTAAGATCACCCTGCAACATTATTTCTTTAGCCCTTCCAGGAGCTGTATTATGAGTAGACTTTGATAAAACAATGACATAAAAGAGTTGCACTTGAAATCCATTATGCCACAAAAGATTTCTTACTCACACTCTCAAAAGTTTGGTTGCTAATGTATCTGTGGAGTAGCACATGCTAGAGGACTGCGCCATGCTTTCATTAAAGTGGTCAGTAGTTGGCAACAAAACAGAATCGCGGAGGGAATTTCAGGCCTAATAGGGCAAGACGTTTGGGTATGTACAAATAAGTTCATCAACTTAGCAAACAACTTCTTTCAAAGAGATTTTTTGCAATCTAAATACTGGTTGACAAAACTTCCGTGCAAAACGGCATATGTTATTTCAATCGAAAACGTCGGAGATTACAACCGAACGGAGTCCTGTGAGGTCTTCCTGTCCACCTTGCTAGGATCAGTACGATTCTTCCTATGCGTGGATTAAAACTACATGGGACGTTGCATCTAACCGACTTTTTCAGAGGTCGAAGTGCTGTCAACCCCTGGCGTTGCGTATGGGGCTCACTTTTAGTAAGGGAAGGATGCTCGGTCAGTCCCACTGGTGGTGTGTTACTCCGACATTATGCACACGCACTCACTTCATAGCCGTTAAATGTTTGTTGTTCATGATCGAGTTCACTGGGGTCACTTGGATTTCTGAAGTTAATTTGACCTGTCTGTTTGGTGAATATGAGAACGAAAATTCCATCAGCTATTGAGAAGTACAGTAAGCAGCGCTAAATTGGATAAACCACTGCTAGCCTCATAAAATAGACTTTACATATCAGTTAACATCAAACACGGGTGATGAAATACTAGTGACTGCATCTATTTAATTTCGAGGTTCGTGGATATGCTGCCGTTGCTGTTTGATCAGTTCCCAGGATTGGACTACGCAATTATTGGTGTGCCCCGTCCCACGCCGACATTTTCCATGTTGCGATACTTTGCGGTGAGTCACTCTTTTAAAACACTCTCCCCCCAAAATTTGGGTACTAATCTCTCTCCACTTTAGCGCTGTCGAGTGCGGAAGGGACACGATCCGGCAGATGAGCTTTACGTATTTCATAGATCTGGGTTGTTGAGGTGAGTTTGCTCCAGCTGTTCCTACGTATAGTATGTATAGTGCGTGGTGCGGTTTTTCTTCCCAGTGAGTATTATTCAGATCTTTGGCATAGTTGTGAGAGTATATATGTTGAATTTGTAGTGCCATTTCTGCGTGCATTCTGTTCCCAATCGAATTTCAACCAAAAGTGACAGACAGAGTTGCTAAATGGGAAATAGAATTCCAATAGTTTGACTGAGAAATTAGCTGCAATTTAGAACGGGGCAACTGGGCTTAGATGTATACAGATTTCGACTTATACGTTTGATGACACTTGGATGGTCTGCATACCTTTGATTAGTTTTTCTAATATCATTGGTATAACCTGTTTCATTACTGTCTCACTGATCTGCGCAAAAATGATTTTGTGGAATGCTAAATCGCTTGTTCCTGGTCACACAAGTAATGCGGTGTACAGATTATTTACAAAAAAAAACAGCAGATTATCAGTTCAGCTATACATTATGGATGGCACAATCAATGAGGAAACAGTAATACCTAATTGTTACAGAAAAAGATATCAGTTTATTTGAATAAAACATTGCTTTAAAAAGGCATAAGGGATCGAAAGGGCTTCAACTCCATTACACAATAAACACCGGAGGCACCTTCACATTCTAATACTCACTCAAACAGCATGGGTGAGAAAGGACATCAAGGTCACCAGTCAGTTTTTAGTGGTTTCGATTTGCAGTCTTCAGCAAAGCACAGCGTAGGAGCGCGTCCTAGAGGGGAGATTGCACCACCAGTACCGGAACATTTACTAATGAATAAATGACAAACCAAAGAGATAGTTCTACACTTTAGCAAAATTTGGACTTCAGAATGCAATTTTTCTTGAAATATTAGAGCTCATTCCCATCCACCAAATAATTTTAACGATATCACAGTTTTCATGCTCTCTTAAACCAACAAAACAAATGCAACACGTGAGTTACTCGCAGCAGGAGTTAGCAATACGTCAGCAACAGGTTGGAATCTTTTTGTATGAATGTATGGTATTCTTGGCATTCGTCTTCAAACGGCTTCTTTGTATTGACGGAGTTTTTGGACAAATAAGTATGTAGCTGCATTTGTTGCAGCCCTCTTTAACCAAACATGAAGAAAAAGCAACATAAATATGCTAAGAAAAAGATACATTCAGGATGCCGTTCATTGTGTCTAATCAACTTGGCACTGTAGGTATACTTTTGTGAAATGACCAGGGAAGAGAGTACACAAGCGATAAATGGTTCTTCGTAAATTTAGAGAGAAGTGACCAGTCAGTTTCAGTACTTTTTGTCCACCAAAAGTTTAATTCGTACATGGCGATGTTGAAAATAACGTTTATGTCACTATCAGTGACAGTGTAAACTCCAAATAAGTCTTATGACAGCTGTGAAAAACCCCAGAGAAGCAGTTCTCTGAATGGCCAAGTCGTCAAAACTATCACATTTCATTTTGAGGATGCTATCACCCATGGCAATTATGTACAGGTTATCTGAATTCATGGACAACGTATAATTTAGCGGAAGGGTGTGAGAGTACGAAGAGTTTGAATGCTGTTGGTGTTATGTGCCTTCAAGAATGGCATCCCGGTGATCCCGCTAGCGCTTGGCTGGAGACATTTCAAGAAATGGAGGCTTATCGGCATCAGTGGCGTTCGCGTTGCCAGTTGCTTTCTAGATTCCTTGATTAAGAACTTGCAGGTGTAGGCACCTTAGGATGATTGGCAAAGGCCTGTATCAGGTCCCATCCTTCAGCCATTCTTTTTCTATACTGTAAGGCTTTCAAAAGCATCAGATGAATTTTATGACTAGATGGCAGTGAAACATGGGCATCAACATTGATGTTGTTGTCTATGATGATGATGATTCATGTTTGGGGAGTTTCTAACTGCGTTATGGCTGAACTACTGATGTTAACCAGATTTTGCTAACTATTGGTTGAACATTTTAAGCTTCCGGTCAGACTTCATCTCCGATTACGTTGATAGCAGTTAAGAACAGGAGGTTTCACTATTGATATTCCTGTTTCCCGCTCCTTTTTTGTGGTGGAAGATCGAAATGAAGGAGTGAACCTTAACAGTTTTATTGTTAAATTCATTCCAATATAAGAACCACCATGTAGCCATTCCATTCTTATTGGTAGCTGTCGAACCTATGTACACTGGGTCACTAGGCCTGAGGCAGTGCCCGAAATTCAAAGTGACCGAAATTCAAATTATAAGTCCATTTAGATAACGAAGGAAGTTAACTTTGTGTGTGCTCTGAATCATATCTTATCAAAGATGAAGTTATGCTATAGACAACATTAGCATCAGAAAATGATCAAAACCTGGGATCTACATGCATACTGAATACCAAATACAACAGTATCCAGATATCTTGTGAGGGAAACAAACTAATATAAGTTTTTGGATTCGGGAGCCAACAAGAAAACAAAGCTTGGTCTCCCCAGAATGTTGTTCCACGACATCTTTTTTATTCACTCTGTAAGCTGTAAGCTGTGCGCCTCCTCATCCTCAATAGGCCCATCCGAAATGGGCAAATTAGCTTGGAATAATTTTCCATTTGAATCGGTTCAAACCCGCGTAAACCGAATTTAACTGAAAACGCATAACAAGGTTAAGGTTCCTTGGTGAGACATTTCATGAAATTGAACAAATTGCAGATTGAGGAACTAGGCAGAGGAAAACGTATAAGAGGATCAACTTTGGCGAACTACATTCGGTTGTACACCAATTTGGTTTTTACGGAAGATTCACTTGGAAACCAGCTAAATCTCTCGTTTCTGAAGTCCCATATAACCTTTAACTTGTTTTCCAGCGATTTTGTTGTAAGGCGGACGAAACATGAGGACAAAGAACAGATCGAACGGCTGATTTGTCGAATGGATGTCGAAGATCAGAAGCTATTGCTTGGTGATCTGAGCGCTTACATAAGCCATGGACGTGACACGGTGCGTTTGTACTTGAAATTTTGGTTTTCACTAGGTCCGTATTGTTACTTTGTTTTTGCAGTCACCAAGTAGGTTGTAACACCGATTACAAAGCACAGGTTACAATGCACATAACTTTAAATGTGTTAACCCAAGTTAGTTGGGTTACACCACAAACAAAATTCAGCGAGGTCGTATCGCCTGGAATATTCTTGCTTCGTAGTTATCACTGTCTGGATTCCTGTCGGTCTGCTGAGTAAATTTCAACGTGAGAAATACGGTAGTGAAAACCTAAAGCCACACCTCATACCAAATTTCACACACATGCTAGCAACATGATTAAGGAGCATATTTACAGAGATTAGTTGATTGATAGCTTCTTGGACTTACGCTGTGGGATCACATTGTGCGGTCGAGTGCACAAATTCAGAGAAAAATGCGATTGACTGTGAGAAGGTCGACCATAAGTAGCAGCCAATAATATCCTAATTACAGCACAGGAAGGATAAATCAAGGGTTTTTCGAGTTGGAGTTGAGAAATGTTGAGTTTATGAGCTAATTTAATCAATTTATATTAAAATATTGGCAACGTATTCTGTTCTAGTATGTGTGCGGCAAGATTAACTGAAATCAGCAGTTTCCATGGTTGAATGGAAATTGCTACATAATTTTCTGGACTGATTGGAATACGTGCAATCTTAATCCATTCCAGGATGGCGCGGTCATCACAAGTTTCGTCGCAGTGAGTATGGGTCGTGTGGTCGGTGTCATTATTCTCAGAGATGAAAGAGTAAGTTCACATGTATGTGACAGTTGTTTCGATCACGATTTTTGTTTTCCACTGTTGACTTCGAGCTAGACATTTATTCCATTACCGGTGAAAATGAATGGAGCATGAGTGAGTAGAAAATTTGCCGCAGTTACTCCTTCAACATAAGTGTCCCAAGCAGAGGAGTTATTCGCCTGAAAAATTTAGGAAAGTTCGTATCGAACAACGACTCAGCTTCATAAATACAAATAGGAACGATGACGGTTTCCTCTTCGACGGGGACCACAAAAATACTGTTTACAGGCCATATGCGGATTCGAACAAGTTTAACCGTTTGTAGTGATACGGTGACTCACATTGTAGTATCAGCAAATGTATTGTAATTGTTTAACCCAATACCATGTTGATGTTGGGTCAGCACTACTTTTGATTTGCATCATATAGAAGGCCGTACACATTTCAACATTTAAGCTATCAGATGGACAACAGAAAATACTCTGGAAGACAAGACAGGTTGCTTTTTTTATAGAGTAAAGGGTGTGCGAGTTTTGTTGCTGGATTGCACCTGTCTATCGTCACGAGTGTTCCACGACGCTAACCATCCAGTGTAAGCTCATTTAGGGAAACGAATTAACTGTTTTTTATCAAACAGTGAACCACTGCTAGCCTAGTTATGGTCAAAAACGGACAGACCATGACAAGCACAGACCATCGCTGACCACGTCTGACAAAGATTGAGCGACACGACGGTAAACCAGTGGCGAACGTGCTGAAGGGATGTAAAACCTACTTTCATCCATGGACGAAACGCCTTGCTGTTGATGAAAGTAGCTATCTCACATGAAAACAGAGCAAGCTTTAGTTGTGCTAGCATGTGTTCTTGTTTACCCACTTTGACGTTGAGGAACTCTTTGGTATGCTGCGTATACTATGACTGCAGATAAATTCGCGGACGTAAACGAGTGTCCTTCCAGGTGTAGGAACATATCATTTTCGAAGCTTTCACACACGGCATTATACTACGTATGTATTTCAGCGTTTTACATCTAAGGGCTCCAGTTTTCCGTCAACAATGGTCCTTGCTATTGTGGGTATAAAAATAAGTATACATGAAGCGGCAAAAAAAGAATTTGGTGTCCAAACAGAGCAAAGCAAATCTTAGGTTGTCTTTAATCTCTCCAACGAATTTACAAGGAAGCCGTTTTTGAGTGAATTTTTCTTTATAATACGCTGAATGTTGTGTTCTACCCAACAGCTTCCCCTTCAACTGTTTGTACTGCAGCCTTCGGTAACCTTCGGTAGGGTGTACGTTTAGGCTCTCTTCACTTCACTTTTCAATGAACATTTCATCTACCCCATGCTTGCTGATGTAGGCTTATGTACTCCCTTTCGAACAATGTCAGCTAAAGCTGAATGAGGTGATATCAAGTAAAAGTGCTTAGCGTTATTTCGGGGTATCTGAAAGAGCCCACAACTCAAGGGTCGTTAGAAAACAGAACCACTAACAGAACTACTACAAAGGGATGCGTCTTGTGGAGACTTCATCTCGTTGGTGCCACATTAGTCTCCTCTCATCTTGCACCAATATATCCGTTTGAGAAATTAGGCGGCCTCCTGAAAGTTGCAGTTGAATGCGCCCGAATCTACATGACTAATGCTGTCAGTATTTTTTTCGTCTACAACATTTTATTTAAAAGTGTATTAATTAATCAAGACCAACAACTACGGACCGTAACGCATCGTGACACTTCGATCGGTTTCGCAGTGGCCTATTAGATGAGCTCCAAGAGGGACGAAGTTCGTGGGCTGTCGAGGAGTTTTCAGTAGGCTCATGAGTAATATGTTGATTTGAAGTTGATGATCGTCCTTTATGATAAGTCATGGGCTCATAAGTAAGCAGCAAGTTTAAATGACTCACAAGGTCTACAATTTTTGTGAAGCAGTTCTTAAGGTATAATAACGCGGATGTGCGCAACGCTTGTGGGTCATGACTGAAACATCTTCGAAATCATTCTGACCGACCGGAAGGAAGCGTTGCACTAGAGCGCCAAACGTTTACTGATAGTGTGCCATCCACTTTGAACACTATACGAGATGTCACATGGCGTGGCACTTCTAGCGACATTCGTGAATTCGTCATGCTATTCTGTTTTCAAGTGAAATGGTGTTATGAAATTGCCTAACAAGACTCCGGAGATTTCTGTCACTGGAACCCAGAAGTCTAACATGGAGTGCTTTTTTCCTTTACGGCATTCTTAATTAGTGATTCAAATACATCAGAACAGCATATTAGCTATGGCTGCAATTTCTTCTCGCTCCTTACTAAAAATGAACAAAATAGCACCCTTCTAAATCCACGAGATCTTTTTAACGCCCATACTCTATGTCAAAGTGGCAAACAGGTAATACTTGCTGAGACATTATACTCCCGGCTAAAATCTGTCGTGATCATTAGAAATCCTTGTTTAAAACCTGGGAACAAGTGTATCCCCGTCAAACTTCACACAAGAGTTCTTGTGGTTGTCGTATTCAGGGCCATCAGTATTTCTGGTTAGATGATCCTCACCAGCAGCATCATCAACATAATCAGCGAGCAGTTCAGGCAGTGGAAAAGAAAGATGAAGAGGATGGGATGTTGTAATTCAGCAGCAATTCTGGCAACGCTTAACCCAGGGAACCCAATCGAATGGTCGCTTTCTGATTAACATGCTCACAGGTGTGCCATCTGGATATCCGACCACCACAAGTGCAGTCAGTGTCGTAAACGAAGCTAAACTACTTACTTTTTAGCAAGTAGTGCAGTCACTATAGTGGTCTTTCCTGCATCAGGTAAGGATCGAAATACCGGAAAAACTTGCATTTGATCTCTTGGAGTATTTTGGTCACCAGGTGACCAAGAATAAATCTTGAGCTTAGTGATGCAGTCGGCAGTGGGCAGTCGGCTTTTATTGACGCACCAAGCGAAATTTCTGCAGTCGATTTCGATCTGCTTAAAGGTCAGGAGGATTTGGGAAGTTATCTTAAACATATCTTTTTGATCTGCTTTTGTCAGTTTCCTCTGGTCAGCGGATGTAGCAGACACTTAGTTTGACCGGAAATAGTTCCTTGTAGAAATGACAGTATTATTGTGGACATTAACTATCTGGCTTTTACTACTTTTTGGCTTTAATCCTATCAAAACTTAGAGGGGTTATGTGTAGTGGCATCTGTCTTTGTGTACTGGGCAGTTGCAGCCATCCGAATGGGCGGCTGGTAGTAGTAAGTAGTAAACAGGATAACAAGAAAGGGGCTTGCTCGAGAACAACTTACATGGAATGTGCTGCTAACAATAGCGAATTTTATATGCCCTAAGAGTTGTGAAAAACGTTATCAAATAGATATGGTAGCAGTCACCTCGTCCTACGCAAGTTGATAGGCCAGTACGTATAACAGAAAGTACGGAACTGTGAAAATGATATAAAAGTTAAACTTGGACTCGGAGATCCGGTAAGATTTCAAATTATCGACAATGTAGTCAAAAATGATCAGAAATAGATTGGCCATACGGAGGGGATTCAAAGCACAGTTTGGTCGGCAGGCGCGCCACATTTCGAGCGGCGCCACAAAATAAAATGGAGATAACCCTGCCTACTGCCACAATGCGAAATATGTTTGGACTGCTACGGGCGAATAGAAGGTGCAAAATGTAAAAAATCATATGCTAAGTGAACTTATGATCGTGCGGATAGCGTAGTGGACTTTCTCTAACCATCTGCTTTTGATCCACGTTCGCACCTGTTCTATCTTTGCAGAAGCGGGCGTGAAAATTGGGAGTTACGCAGGCTGCGAGCCTTTAAATCTCCCACATTGATTAGTAATGCACGTTTACTTGCGACGGACGAGAAGAAATCGGAAACAGTTAATATGAAAATACGAAAAGGTTTGATGGCTTACCACTAGACTGAATAGACCCAACACTTCAGTAATACTATCCCTGTGAGCAACCGAAATTTTCGATATGCAGCATCAAGGCTTGCTGGTTTGGGAAATCGGGCAAGAAATAAGCATTGATTTGTCAAGCACTTCAAAAATAAAATTCGTCAAACTTAATGAAGCTGGTGCACTTCGGAAGGCCGCCATACCTAATGAAACCTGATGGAGGGCCAATTCGAGCTGAATGATTGATACGCAGATAGAATACAGTATTTACTTATTTGCAGCTAAAAGAATAAACATAATCTCAGAGGTGATAAAAGTACGATATGACTGAAATATCCAGGAATCTGTTTCCATCGAACCAGCCTGCATTGTGAAGATTTTTTGAGGTACTATCATTCCACTCCGATTCTACTGGTGTTAGTCAGTTCTCATTCTGTAATGTCTGCAGCATTTTCACAAGCGTAAACTTTGTCCTACAATACGCATGGTTAAGTATATCGCGTTTGTTTATGTCAGGCTTGAGAAACTTTAATCACACTAGTTTTTGTTAGTGGCCTACGTTTTACTGCCCACGGATCTACAAGCCACGTTAACTTAGGAAGGCGATATTTGGATTATGTTTGATACTATTGAACTTACATCCGAAGACGATCAGACTCAAACATTCAGTGCCATTATTCGTGCATACCCACAATAAAGTTGGAAACATATCTGGGACAAACATGTTCTTTCCGGGCCGCACTTTTGAGCGTAAAAACTGTGGAAGTTGCTCGGCGGATGCACATTCATTAAGCTGATGATTGTGCCGTTACTTCGAGCATCGAACACCTTTTTGGATAGTTCCTAAATAGAGCGCGTGACGTGCAATAAAGTTAAATAAATTAAGAAATCAGGAGTCTGGAAGGGTGAGGTAAACTATTTCCCTGCCACATTTCCTTTGTCTGAAGGAACCCACATTTTTAAGAATGTGACAATGTCCTACAATTGACACAGTAGGTGCACTTATTTTCAGTCCCCCCCTCACGCAATTCTTGTGAAGTAAATAATGTTTTGGTAATCCTGTTTAGAGGTAGCCTTCTTTCTTTAAGAAGCATAAGCACCTTTGACTGTTTCAAATAATACTCATAATCGTTATTTGTTTTGGATTGTTTTGTTGACCTTTTCACAGGAAATCGAATGGATAAGAGCACACTATGATATTGAGGAATTTATTCACTACGGGCACCATGCTCGTAACGAGCATGCCACAGTGTATCATTTTGCACTAGCTGCGAACTACCACTGCCGACGTACATTGTTTCTTCGCGAGGTGCTGAGGCTCGCAAACAAAACGTGTATTTATTATCGGATCTTGCCACCATATGCAAAGGATGCGGTGAGTCTTGTTTGATGCCCATGCTTTTAATGGTTTCCAAGGTGGATTTGTACTGGTTACTCCCACGACACTTCTTAATAGTACATGGGATCGGAAGGTAGAGCCTGACCCTTATGGATTTACGCAACAAATGAGGACTATCAAATAACGGTCGGACAGAATTCACTTCAGTCAAATTATACTTTGCGGAGCTGATGCCACATTTTGTACGTCCCACCAGATTGAACAGTCGACTGGCGGCTGTTTTCTGTGCGTGTTCTCCACTAGACTGGCGTTTTTTGTAGCCGACCCGTTTTTCGGAAGTGGCAAGGTAACGAAACAGACCATGATGACAGGTTTTCGTGCGACACGCATGTAAGTCGAATATGAAGTTGGCTCACTGCAGACTTATCCACAGCAATGGTGTGATAATTATCACAATCGACTTTTATCCGATATGTGCAGATATTCTGCGCAGTAAGATATTGTGGCTGAGGTACAATCTTGTAACCGATACGTATTAGTTCTCGGAGAACTTGAAGAAAAAATTTCATTGTAGCTACGAGCTGCTTGTAACTCGAAAGTGGATGGAGTCCGTCAAATACTGTAATTCGGTCTTAGGAAGAGATCCAGCTAGACTCAGCTGAGTCCCCAATAAAACTAACTTGGTGTGCAACTAAGACTATTAGGCGGGATATTTGACCTATCCTGCTAGTATACTTTAGCCTAATACGAGAATCTGGTTAGGAAATCCATCAAGTAGACTGAAAAATACAGAGGTGTTCTAAAACTCCTCGCATAGTTCGAATAACAATACAGTGTCGTAATTTGATATCAGAACAACCAAGTGTTCACTTTCGACCTCAACACATAATCGGATATCATCATAATTGAATACAAACGTACCATAAATCTATGAGAAATTTCAAGTTTCCATGTTTAATAGCCGTAGAATCTTCGTGCATTTATCTCACCGTTCAACCGTGTAAATGCTACGCAAACAAATGCTCTTCAGTGGCCACTTCGGACCCCAGACTCTGCTGGTCAGCAACGTAAAAATAGACATACTTAACGACAAAATTCTCACGCAGCTATTTACTCAGCATTGCACCTCATCCCTCTAAACTGACTTTTCCCTAGAAAGTTTTAGATCAAACAGTTTGACGCATGATTGATAGCCACCTTTTATCTGTTTCAACCTTAAGTTTGCATGCAATAGCAGGAGTATATTCCCAACTAACCTGAAAGAAATGTGGATCACTGATGGGATTTCTATTCTTTTATTAGGGTATGCTCTCCTGATGCGAATGCCTTAGCCAGATGTAGGTGCAGAAATGCGTTATGCTGATAGCAATGGAAACGTTTTTCGGTAGCAATTTCATCGTTCAGTGGAGTTAACAAAGAACCAATGTACAAGAGATCCCAAATCGATTGAAAATCGACAGGTCATGCATTTACCAAAACTATCGCCTTTAAACGGATTTATGGGATTAGCATGCTAATGCATCTAGTCAGATGGCAAATGGGTTTATTGAGGGGGACAGTGATAATGGGTGCGGTGCCGGCTAGCCACATTGCTTTTGCATGCTTTTTCCATCCTATGCATCTAGATTGCAAATGGGTTTATTGAGGGGGACAGTGATAATGGGTGCGGTGCCGGCTAGCCACATTGCTTTTGCATGCTTTTTCCATCCTCTGATCCTGCATGCGGTTTCCACTGGACTTGGGTGTACTGACAATGTAAATAAGCAAAGATGTGCACTGTACTAACCGTTTTACTGCAATACCTTTTCGGTGCATAGGTTTTAGGTCAACTGAAAGAAAACGCGGAGGTTGAAATACTCCAGATGCTCAGGCTTAGAGGGGAGAAGTCGAGATTCTGAGGTTGATTTCTAACCCTTCCGCCATAAGCTTTATACTTTTCCTAAGGGTGTGGGAGAAGACTAGGGGACGGGTGGCGTTAGGCGGTGGATACGGACAGGAATTAGTTTACTATCGTTTGTAGGTGCCATCCGCTAGCACGACTGTTCCGTTTATGGAAACGTCGATGCGGCCTACTGTCCGCTAAACATCCAAATAACCATCAATTCCTTCCGGCATCAGAAGCCACCCACTGGCATCCTAGCCTACTGCAACGGATCACTTGTTCGTAGTTTTTCTGTGTATAAACCAATTCGGACGGCTTTAGACTATTTACTGATAGCAAATATGTATTGCATCAAAAATCTGCTACTTTGGACCTCATGATGGTTGCCAAGAACGACTAAGTTTCTGTCGATTTGAGAATCTATTAGTATCAAAACTGGCATTGCGGTATGACGCATCTTTGGTAAATTCTTATCCGGACATTTTGGCGGTAAAGAGACAGATATGAACACTTTGTTGGTGGTCAGACGTTTTGTAATTGCGTTCGGCACACTTAACGGTGAAGATTTCAACTAACGTCAAGAAACTTTATCCTGAATGTCAAAGCAGACTCTACATTTTCGAACTTTTTCCAGGTGACTGTCAACCTGCCATTTGTAAACTAACATACCCGACAGTAGGAATCACCTTTGATTTGCAGTGACGAGAACCTCGGAAAGATACACTAGGTTCCCGATTTGCGGTCCTATTTCTTTGAAGGGATTTGTCTACATGGATGTCAGTGAATAAAGTTTAGTTAGAACTTGCAGAATGAGGGAAATAAAGTGTTATCCGAAAGAAAGTACAAAAGAAGCAGACTAGAGAGTTGAAGGATTATCAGTTCACTCCAAATATGCCAAGTGTAATCGCCAGGCAAAAACAAATCTGGTTGTCGTTTGTCTTCGTAAACAACAATAAGGTGTTGCAGATTTACCAAGATTACTGAAAGAACGACTTATCAAACGAAAAACATCGTGCAACCGTTGGGATTTTTTCATCGATGTCTAGCATTTCTTCTAAACACCTCTCTGAATTCCTTGTGCAATGGTAAGCGAATCAGGTATACACAGACCTAAAATCACCACACATGGGCTTCGCAGCGATTATTAGAAAAGATAAATAATATTTTCACTTAAGGTTAGCCTTTCGTGAGGTGGTTTCGGGTCGAAACTGTTGAATTAAACCTTAATTAAATGGTGTTTACGTTCAGAAGAAATTCTCATGAGGTGACTTCTTACCGATGATTCCTCAATAGCTATTTTGTACCGTATTTTTTATCTCCCAAACTCAGAAGTACACAAAGTCAACTTTGGTTACTTGCTTAAGTGACCTGGTCTTGGTACGACCCCGTCGGCAAATCCTTTATCCTCCAAAAGAAATCCTGGGAGAAAAGGCACCAGAGGAACGAGTTATGCATCAAGTAGATGATCCTCCAGCGTTAATGATGAGCACGGTAAAACTGTTAAGCAAACCAAGGCATGATATCAATGCACGCATCATTGTTGTAGGGGCGTCTACAACTGGACTGGCCGTCTTGGCAACCTTGGCTACATGGTAAGCATCGAAATTATCAAGAAATAAATCCAAGGTTTTAATCTAATCATTAAAAAATATGTCTGACTTAAGAATATATATAAGCCTGCTGATTAATGAACTGCTTTTCATTTGCCGCGAACAAAACTCATTGACCGTCAAGAGAATAGAGCGTGGTTATTGGAGTCTAAAAACAATTTTTGTGGCAANAATAGAGCGTCGTTATTGGATTCGAAAAACAATTTTTGTGGAAAATATTTGTATGAGACGGACCTTTACTATGTGATGAGAAAATATATGAACTCGGAATTTTTTCAATGTTTTGCGAGATCTCGAATATCGTACCAACTGAAACATTAGGCAATATGGTAAAGCACATTTAGTTGAAGCGGATTCTCATGAACGAGAGATTCAGCTGGATTCAATTAACGCCCTTGTCAAAACCAAATTAGTGTGCACAAAACTGTATTTGTCCAAGTCTGTATTTGTGCTTGCAGTATGACGCTTTTAAAATGACCGCACATTATGATCCCACTTTTGATGCATATTATGGTGGGCTTTCAAAATATCCCAGTCGGATTCACATTGGCTATGAATAAGGTACACAAACAACCGACCCACGAAGCACTTGCCACAAACTACAGGCGCAGCTGATGTCTCCTTGTCGGTGGTATTGGATTCATTTACCTAATCAGTCAAAGGCAACCATGTGGGTTATATTTCGGTAACCAACCAACCCAGTCAGACAAGTTTTCAAGAAAGACCTAAACTTCTTGCAACGCTCGGAGCAGGATAGCATTATTTCACCATGGTTAGGGTTGATTAATGGCTGGCAGTCACCGCTTGTCAACCTCAGGCACAAAAGCAGTAAAGTATGTGGGTAAAAATGGTGTTCAATTTACGACATGCGATTGGAGCAGTTGAGTGGAAGCGCTCAAGGTTGCAGAGGCTCAAGGTCACTTCTGAGAAAGACAGCGTGCATTCTGTGGGTGGTAAAATGACCCAAGTTTTGAGCAAATGGTGATGAAATAACAAGAGGAATCACATGGGTTTCAACGTCGAGGTTTGATGGTAGCTTTTCTATCTCATAGATACATCATCATATAGATATCACAACCAGGTTGAATCCACCGAAAACAGAATTGCTCGTGAAACTTGGCTGTTTCGCTTAGGTGCTATAGTAAAAAATGAAGCCAAACAGGTGTACATAGGGCATCGTAAAGGTATGCTGATAAATCAGCCTTCCAAAAACTGTGACCTCGATATTAAGCCGATTTTTCTCCGTTTTTTGAAGTTGTTGTGTGATGTCAATGTGCATTATTTTTCCCACACAAGTGTCCTCACGGCCTGCCACCTCATTTCCAGTTCTCACCTCCGTTTTAACAATCTCGTTCTGCTGTCTACCAACGGTCTTCCTGGGGATGCGCTTGAGAAGCCCGATCCACTGTTATTTCGTTTTCTGCATACTGAGTAGGTCTACCGCTTTTTACATTTCCCATTTATTGGCGCGCGACCGTGCTCATTTCCTAGACTATTGGCACTCAGATGGTTTGGTTGCGGGCGTGATCAACACTAGAGAAAATCTTTACCATTGCGGTGAATTTATCACCCTAAGTTTCTTGTACGAGTACTAGCACATACTTATGAAAGCGAGAAAGAACTTATTAAAAACAGAAACAGTGGCGAACAAGAGAGTAGATGCGATCTACGGATTTTAACATTGGTTGGGGTTGTGAAGCCAAGTTGATAGTTTCAACAATACGAAGTTCCTTTAGACTGCCATTACTCAGAATGTGTGGCTTCAAAGCAAGCTATTATATTTATTTGATTTATTTTTATTTATTTATTTGATTGCAGGGCATTGTAGGACGGGAAAATTCGACAATAAGTACGAATCTTTGCCCCCTCTGTTCTGATCATTTAGCGTGACAAACTGCTAAGTGCTAGCTCTTTCGTAATGAGTTTTTTATTGAACCAAGTAGGTTCTTTGTGTTGCACCCAAAAGGATATATGAATAATAAAGAATACCTGTTTGTTTTCGGTCGGGAAAAAATGTTGCTAGTACAGAACTAGAAAGCTCGGATTTTCGAAATGGCTGAAAACAAGACATAATCAAAGTTTTCGAAAAAGTTTAGTGCCAATCGGTAGATTTATTGCCGAACTACGTTTTGCTTTTGACACAAAAGCTTCGTCAGGCCAAGTGACTAGGTTCCGGGGTTGGTCGAGATTTAAGGCGGAAGGTAAACCAATCAGCTAAGTCAATGTAAATCTCTGTTGGGTGTCGGCCGAGGGATTTTAGTGTGTTAGAGCGGTTGAACAAGTGTTGGCTCGGTGGGGAAACCTACATGTGCTTGGGTCCAGCCAAGGGTTCGGTTCATTTGATGGTCCCTGTCGAACGTCGTTTGAACCCTCTGTTCGTTTGTGCGGATGAGCTAGTGGTAAGGTGGTTGTGTAATAGATATGTTGTGAGCTTTGGTCGGGTTGGGATTTCCACCTCCCCCCCAGTTTTTGCTAATGGTTCTACGTGGAGTGACAACCGCACCGTTATGTGTCAGCTCGGCTTATCTAAGACCGCTTTCCATACGCTCGCCAGTTCCACACCCGCGGTTCTATTCACACTGTGATGCTTAGTAATTTCCACCGTCTCGGCTATCAGCCGTTGTGGTGTGAATCGCAGTCCCCGTCTTAAGACTTCCACATTCTCCAGATCTATTCTATGTCCCGTGTCTAAGGCATGTACCACCATCGCTGAAACATACTCAATTTGCGTTTGTGCTTTAACAGAGAAAAGTTTCTTCAAGATCATCTTGATGCTGAGAAACTCCCAAATTAGAATGTTGGTGTGTGACTTACTGATTGAGCCTTGCGGCAGAGTGACATATCAGTCTATCCGACAACTTAGAGTTTTAAGAAAAACTGAAAAGATCGATCCATAGAAAAGGCTATTCGAAAGTATCATCTTGTGAATTACTGAAATAATGTTCAGCCTATGTTTATTTCTACCTTACAGGCTAGGGCTATTGCCCGCAAATGATCAGAATGATTGGTAAAGCCCGTTGTGGTCTCCATGATCGACAACGGTTTGAAGTCTAATCCAAAAGCCACAGATTTAAATGAGGTTGGGCGTTTTTGACGAACGAAGACCGGTTGCCCCGATGAATACATTGTCAGTGCAAACAAATCCAAATCTTAACTTTCGTATTATTTGCTTTTATCTGCAGATGAGTTTTGCATTCATAAGCTCATCGGTAAAGCCATGCAACTCCAAAATTAGCAATTTTATTCTGGTCCTGGAGAATAACTGCTGGTATACTTCTTTCTAGGACAAATTCGCGTTTATAAAATCCCGACTGCATTTTGACAGCTGATAATCTTGCATATTTTTTATCATTACAGTCACTGTTATCCAACTGAAGTTCTTGGGCAGTATGGATTGCGACACTGCGTACATGTTATTCGTGGAAAGCTGACCGGCATAGATAGGTAAGTCATCCAATGGATTTACTTTAGTTGAACCTGCATTATAATGGCAACCAATGACTTGACTTCTAGCGTTTCAAGGTTGAGGAACTTTGGTGATACTTCTCAAGGAATGGAGCGATACAGCGTGAATAAAACCGTCGTCTCCTTGACTCGAATTTGTGAAAGCCCTTCGAAAGCCCACCATTGGGGCTAATCAGCTTGGCAAAATCAACCAGTATACAGTATGCTCTGCTTGGACAACATACTGTAGACAGTTTGTGAAATAAATTCATTTGCAAAGTTAATTGTTGTTAATAAACCCTCGGCTGCGTTTCACTTTTAGGTTTTCTCATGATACCTTCAAGCGTAGTGTGTTACACAAAGAGAGCATACCGCGTTGTCATGATTGTGAGGCCTTCTCAGGACACATCATGTTAAAGAATACCATAAACGACAGATTCACCTAGAATTCAAGTTAGTCTTCTGTGGGAGCCAAGTTAGTCTAAAAATGAGTGAATTTTACTAAGTGGGTCCAGTTTGGGCTCAAGTCGAACATCAGATAGGCGGAACTGTGGGGACTGTGCCCATCTGATGATCCTCAGGAAGGGCGACACCGACCGTAGGCTATCAAAGACATCTCAGTAACCATGTAGGTAGTATTCTATAAAAAATTTTTGTACTAATGTTTCTGTGTGTAAATACACACCGCCTATTAACGTCATTCCACCAGCTCACGCTGGACGCAGCTGGATCCTCAAGGCTAACGAGTATATGAGGTGTAGTGTTTTGCCTTCGCCTATTGAGCAAGGCTGAAGGAATATTTGAAGTAGAATACTTGATATTCACCAATAGGGTTCTTTCAGTTTGGCGACAGATGCACGCGCGCACTGAAGTCAAAGAAAACAAGGAACTGGTGCAAGAAGATAATGCTAGTTTCTATTAGGAAAAAATGCTCTACAGTCTTTTGCTGTAAAGAGCATATAGCAGGAAGATGGGTACAAGCGCAACTGTAGGTCCAACGTCCTTTGATTCAATGGTTCTCCCACGCGACCTCGCAGATAGTCACAAAGAAGAAAGGCTGCATGTGAATGAAAGCAACTCAGCTGAGAGTGTCCTTTCTGTGTTTTTGCCTTAACACATCTTTGCATTTCCGTACTGTGCTCTGCATTTTTATTGATTACAGTACTTCTATATTGTTTTCTTTTTAAATTTATGCTTTTAATTTAGTTTCTTCCAGCGTATTACCCTTTGGAGCAACAAAAATGGAGTTTGTGCATATTTCCAAGGTTTCTTTTCAGATAAGCGGAATAGTAACATCAAACGAGGTTGCTGACCAAGCTAGAACAATATACATTGTACTTCCGACAAGACAATAACGATCGTTCCAGAATCGATCCACTGTCCATGGTCGGTTTTTTGTGGAGTTCATCAACCTGATCACTTTAGGGTAATCATCCAGGCTTAAGCCACTTTCGATTACCGAATGAAGAGCTTACCAGCTACGCTATACATTTTCACCACAAATTATCAACAACCGAAACACACCACCCCTTAGGACAGGTGAATACATGTGGGGATGTTGGACGTCTGTTTTCTTCTGTTTCCACATGTGATGCAGTGTCTTCCTGCTTTACGGGCTAGGGGAAGCATAGCAATATTTCAGTTAAATGAGGATTGCTTGAAACCAGCTGATATTTCGCGATTTAAGAGCAGTTTTTTAAAACATGCATAATTAATTCTTTCAGGAAACAATTTTAAATAATATTCGGTTTTAAAATAGTTACCGTTAAAAGATAAGCACCGTAGGTATCACAGGGCTTAGTACAACTCATCCAACTGCGGTCTCCAGTTCTGTTTATTTTATGCTACTCCAAATAGCATCATTGCGGTCTGTTGCTGGTCTTATGATGTCTCATGGTTAAATGTGTAGAATCAAATTCTAGGTTTCTGTGGTCTTTTACTTATGACTCATTTTTCACAATAGGGGAGCGTCCAAAACCTTATTTTGGTCACACTTTCTAGGTTTTGCAGAAGAATGTTCGAAGATGGCTATCACGATTGGAAATATCTTACAAGCGGAGACCATTCGCTAGTTTTTATTGGTGACCTGCCATTTCACTCGAGCATGGAATGAGGATTTCATTGAATTTTTTGACTGTTCCGATTATTTTAAATGCGTCTTTGAAAGTCATTTTGGTATTCTATTCATTCTATCTCTTGCAATTCTCAATATCGTCAAGAAAATTCAAATTCATCACTATTGACCACAAACAACGTCTAAGTTTCGACCATGTGGTGATAACAACCGGATTACAGTACCATATTTGCTCTCCGGGGACGGATGACAAGATAAAAGAGCCCATTCCCTACGAAACTCCCTTCAGAAGAACCCGTCGATTCTCGCGTGAGTGACTTGCCATGTATTAATGTGTCATGTTCATCCATCTGCTTCTTATGTTTAGTGGTGAAGAGAAAATCACAGCTGAACTTTTCCACTTTATTGTAGTAAAACAACGCCAAACTAGTTGGAGGATGGACCTGATATGCAAACAGGCGCGAAAGTGTGGATAAATAAGACCCACTTCTGACATATTATTATCATTAAGACAACTGCAGACGGTCTTTTCTTCAGGTTCTTTAAAAGCACATCACAGTGCTCGGGTCGCTGTTTCTGAGGATGTAATGCCACTCCGTAAGAAATCAAATAAACCATCGTGCACCAAAAATGTCGTTTGAAGTGAAGGTGCACCATTAAGAGACCTCGCTTTTGGTAAATAAAAAATTCCATGGGTTATCTACTAGTGGATGGAATGCATGCCAATGTTTGTCCCGTGCCAGTTTGTGAGCCGTAATTATCAGTAGGTCTCGACAGACATGATCCCTGAGAAGAACACATCTACGAATTTCCTGTATGAAAATGGGAAACGAGGGCCAGTTGGCAATTTGACGGAGGGTTTATTGTAAGTTACAAGTGACCGGAAAGATCCTTTCAGAAGCATGCAAGTACCTTGTTATGTAATTGCCTAATGTATGAAATTACATGCCACTGTGTTTGTATGGTAAAGGCACCCGAGGACATGGTAATGTATCTTTTTCTCACGAGAAAAAACCAAATAAAGGAATACTGAGTATTCTAGTTATCTCCACTATCCCACTTGTGACTAAAACAGAATCCAGGACAGTACGAAATCCCATACCTAGGATACCGAAGTAAATGCCTTTTGACAGTCTCAAACCTTGAGTAAGGACTTATGTATCCGTGTTTGGCGAGTTCATGCTCATGATAACTGAAAGACTTTTTGACCATTAAAATATTACACTGGAACGTTACTGGGATAATTAGTTCAGAATTAATGACAGTGGTGTCAGGAAAGTGAAATACTTGCCCGCTTCGATAATAACCTGTTCTAATGCAGGTCTTTTTAACGGCTTCGTGCATATGAGGTATAAGAATCTTGAGAAAACAGTTAGGAATAGCCAGTAGGTTTGTATCCCAAACTCGTATTCACTATGTAGGTTAAAAGGTTTTCATGAACAACCAGTCTTAACTCCCTATTAAAGTGCAATGTAGAGGAAATCGGAACAGTACTTAATTAATCGGTTTCTCGGCTGATTGTGTTGTTTCGTTCATTTAGTATGATTCTAAGGTACTTGCTGGTCATATCATTTTGATTTGTGTAGCAGATAAAGTGCGTTACTTTTATGGTTTCTGCAAAATAGTAAGGATAATCCCCCACTTGTGTCCAGATACCATTATTCGACCTCCAAAGGACATACTTTACACGACGAGTCACCTACAGTATCCCGGCATTCAATAGCCTTTCCACACCTAACAATTTTCTTATACATCTGTGTGGAGGTGCATTGAATCGGGAGGGAAAGACTGATCTTGCCTGTACTGTACAAAGACACCGTAATACTGCAAACTTCGTCCGTTTATTCACAATTTTAATGGAGAATGAGCGCTATACATCCAACCTGGCTGACTGTTTGGATTCATTCGATTTTACCGGGCTTTACTGAAGACGACAGTGCAAAATAGCATAATGCATCCAGTGAGACATATCTGACCAGCTAAGACGGCAGATTGTCATTTTGACGAACCTTATTCGGACTGTGTATGGTTTGCCTCAAATGGCTACCAGTAGAACATTGATTCGAATCTGAAAATGTTAGCATGCAGGCTGCACTTTATGCCGAATTTAAAGTTCCCTTGTTTTAGCCTTTCAAAGGGAATTTCGATCTAATCTTTTTTGAGCAGAGTGAGAAAGTTCATCTACGTAAGCATTTTGTCTGCTTTATTTGAATGTGGTTACACACCTTATAAACTTCACTAAATCCATTTTGATATCGGGGAATAATACGAACTCTAGTAGCCGTACCTCTAGTCTCATGGGGTTTCTAATCGGACACTGCATACCCAAGTTTTGTGATCATATGTTTATAAACAGCTTAATTCCTCCTCTCTAAGACTGCGACTGGGGTGCATAGTACGATAATGTATCGACTGTAAATGGTTTGTGATAGTGACCTAATTTCAGAAATCCTGCACTGCCCTTGTTTTGCAACTGGTTTCACAGCTAACGAATAGGAATGAAAAATTTGCCAAATTAAGAGACGAAGTAAGAGACGAGAAAAAAGATTACGTTTCAGAAGAGCTTGGTAAACAATCGGTAGTTATTATTTGGGCAACGTTTCGCTTTTGACACAAAAGCTTCATCAGGCCAAGTGAATAGGTCATCGAATTGGGCAGGTTATAAGACAGACGGGGAACCAATCAGTAAGTCCTCTTCAAACTAGATCAGTGTTGAGTGTCGATCAACGGCGCAATTGAAGGATCGCCTCCCGGCGAACAGAACCAGGGACTGTGTCTACAAAATTAAGTGTGATGACTGCACCAAGGGAACTACACCAAGGAACTACACATCAGAGTCGGAGAACATAGTAGAAAAATAAACAGGCTGCCAAGGAACGCAGCTGAATATCAAGCGCTACTGAAAAACTCGGCACGGGACACAAAGTAGATTTGGAAAATGTTTAAGCGGGGACTACGGTTCACGTCACAGAGGCTGATGGCCGAGGCGGTGGAAATCGCCAAGCATCCCAGTGTTAACAGAATGGAAGGCGTGGAACTCGCAAGCGTGTGGAGAACGGTTCTGGATTAGTCGAGCTCACACGTGTTGGTGTGCGGTCATCAGAAGGAAGAGTGGTCATCATCTGGATTCCACTGAAGGTGGGAACTGGCTAGCGTGTGGAGAACGGTCTTGGGTCACTCGGACGTACACGTGTTCGTATGCGGCCATCAGAAGTAAGAGTGGTCATCATCTGAAATCCACTTGACCTCAACCCCCCTCAAACTAAATTGTCGGAGCACTCACAACCCCACAAAGACCAGGGAAAATCTAACAGCGGCATCCGAGGTGAATCATCAAGTGAAGCACCATGAAGTGGATGATTAAGGAACGAAAAGCGATCGGAACTAATTTGGAACTCCTCCAACCCATCAATTCAAGATTTTGGCACCCATACTAGCCGAAAAGAGCCGTTAATTGACACTCAACACTGATCTAGTTTGAAGAGGACTTACTTTTGAGTATACTGAGGACTGTGTAGGATGAGTTTTATAAACTTAAATTGTGATTTGGTGAATTCAAAATATTCGCCAAAAATATTTACTGTTCATCTGAATGGGCTGAGATTCCAATAGTTATCCCATGTCAAATTGTCATTATTTTTAAGAACTTAGGAGTAAAACGCCCAAGTTTTCTTAACTGAACCGAGGGGATAATCGTGAGGATTTCGAATTGCCGCTTTGCAACTTTAGAATAGTGTCCCTTTTCCGGAGATCTCCATAAGCTTTTACTTGTCGACTCAGTACGATTGACGTCGTTCGGTCATCAGGTTTATAAACGTGAAATTTGGTAAACTATCCAAAGGACGACTAAGAAACTGACCAAACTGTCCTGCCGCCAAAGGGCCACCAGTGAAAATCGGGGCTGACATCAGTGCTGCACCCCGTGCAAGCAACTCAACGGAAATATTCCGGATGAAACCGAAAAATTTCCAAACAGTATCCTGATTCGCAACTGTTCTCATGCTATCAGCACATCGGTCTGATAGCGAAGGTGGTCGTTTTGGGCAGAACAGGTTGTACATAGTTTTAAGTGAACACACTTGGGTGGGCTGAGTAGGTATGCTTCCTTGACATGCGCACAAAGATTTATTGCACATCGGTGTTTCTAAATATCCTCCTTACTTGGTATCAGTGTTGCGTGTATCACGGAATAGAAACAATACGAGCTGAACGTGCATGGCTATATTCACTTTTACGTGTTTGTTAGCGTGTTGGTATGAAGTAACCTTGAATGAGAATTTCGATTCGATCCAATGCAGCAGTCTAGTTTACAGTGAGCGGTTGGTTGGAGGCGCCCTGGTATGACAATTCGGAAGTGCACGTTGCCCGACTTGAATGGAAGGGTAGTGTTTCACATCTTTACCTCAGCCCATCTCAGTGTTCATGACTGGTTAGCTGTCTATATACATTATTTTGCAAACAGCGCAGTAGTTGTGATCTGAGCTAGAGTAAAACAGCTGTTCACCGGCTCGGTGATTACGCCTGGGTAAGACGTCGGTCGAACTGAGTGTGAACTATGATTGCGGGCGCCAACAGCGTTTCTTTTAAATTCTTTTAAAATTCGACATGCTTTATCAGTAACTATTGATTTCCTAACAATCTAAGGTCTTGAGTGAGCCTGCGGCAGAAGTGATATTTGACTAATTTGCACGACAGCAGATTACTGACCGTGTAAAGACACGTGACTACGGGTACTCCGCGACGAATCGTTGTTTTTGGATGGGCCGAACTCTGCCTGTTTCACTCCTACAATTTAATAGGATGAGGTCCAGCCTGCAAAGTTGTTCCGTAATTCCTGCTCAACTACTAGCGGGTTTTGTTGGCATAGATGACTCAGGTGGTGAGAAGATAAGCCGTAAACCATTTTGTTCCACCAAGAGTTCTCCTGGACGAAGGTTTCTTAGATAGAAGCACCTAACCAACTTCAAAGTAGAAGATTACCACTTAATTCTCCTATAACGAAAAATGCCATTGTTGAGCAAATGTGATGCTAATTTGTTACCACCCAAAGTGATAAAGCTCTACCAAGTACTGACCCAGTGCAGATCAACCTCAAGTAATTATTTATCGTTCAGAACGGGTCAGTGTCAGTCTGTGAACTGATAACTGCATTGGTATTCCATCCATAACATCAATCCATCCGCATGTATTATTAACAAAAATGGAGCGTGTGAAAATGCTGTGAGTAACTTGGGTCAAAATGGTAACCTGCATGATTCAATATCTCACTCTTTGTTGGCGATTCCAACCGTTACATTTTCACCCACTGTACACACAAAACTCTTATTGGTAATGGACTCCGACAGACTTGAAATTGGTCACACTCCCTCTTTCGTGTTTGTTTGGGTTTGTATTTGAAGAAATCGTGCTTGCCAACCCAACCAAAGCGGTTTGTTATCTCCTTATTACGCGCTAAATTCAGTTTCTCACCAGGCTAGAAAGAACTCCCTTTTTGTTTGTAAGTGAACTCTGACTAGTTCCTTCCCCAGGCTGTTATTGGAATGTTTACACACGTCCTTTCGCCTTAACATGCATTGAGATTGCACGAATTGGATATTACCAAGGGATCACGAATAAAATGAAAAAAAAAATAATATTACACATGCTGACCTTGTCATTTTTCGAGTTTATGCAGGAGTTTCAGTTCATCAAGTTCAAATTTGTTTGTACATCACTTCGAATGTTCCACCAAAGTCCTTTGATTACTAGTTCTATCCGGTTTAATTTACCTCAAAACAGTCAACTACCCGACGGCTTTAAGACCAAAAAACCTGTTTCTGATCAACGATTGGGTGGATGCCTCCAACGTGGTGGATTGGGTCCGCACAAAATACCTAACCAACCTGAGTACGGATGAACTCAATGTGCCTGAATGGAAAAAGAAAAGAGTAGAATACTTAAAGCCCACTTATTCCGATAATGAGGACAGCCTGAGAGCCAGTACAGAAGACCTGGAGGAATGCTTAAATGAAGAGAACAAAATTATTGTTTACGGATACAATCTGGACTGTTATACTTGTGTTGAAGCTTTATTGGAGTGTGGTGTACCCGGCGGACTTATCCTGATGGTGCAGCCTCCAAGGCTCGAGGGCGAAGTAAGTTGAGCTTCTTCCGGTGTGTAACGTAAACTACAGTATGCAAATCAAAGGGCCACACAAAAGCTTTTGTCACCTCCAAACATAGCGTGTGACAAGTAGAATAACCTAATTCGTTCAAGAGAACAGCAATGTAGCGGATATCTGTGAAGGTTCGAGTAATCAAGTAAAGTGCGATGAGGTTTGCATACCAATCTGACGGCAAGTAAAACGAAGTACGTAGGTTTTCGCATAAAATAGTCCTGCAGTCGTACAAGTAACACATTTCCAAAAGTACAGAAATACGCGGATTCCTTTGCAGCTAAGTTATTGAGAAGATGAAAATTTTAATCCTCCAGGTTAGAAACAATAAAAAGAGCCCACGAACAAAAAAAACTTATGTTCAGTTTCCTGATCACATCCTTGACACCAAACAGGCCACCACTGATATCCGTGCATTTCGCAAATTTTACGGTTGTACAATTGTCAGCCTCCTTTTACTTAGTGTTAAAAATGTTTATCAGGCTCCCTAACAGGTTCATTTGATTCACTGTCATCAAACAATAGGACACTAGTATTTTCGAGTATCGCTGACCATGTGTTGCGTAATCGATACGGTGTACGTTTGTTACTTTGATCAATATGTTTCACATCGCACGTTTCCGTCGATTGCGGGCAGGCAGAAGATGGCTTGCCGTGATCTGTCCCTGCTGATTGACAATCGATCTTCCTAACAGCATGCTTTTCATATGTCCATTATTCCGGCTAACAGAAACTGCCTTTTGAAGACAGAAAGGTGTCGTCCGCGGTCGAAATGGAACTTGGCAGGGCGGAAGTTCGTGTGCTTCGTGGCTGCACTCTCCTTGAATGGGATAAAAATGACCCTCCTGATATAGAAGAACTCAGTGAAGTGACCTTTGTCTCGAACAAGGAGACTTTGACTATAAAGTGCAAAGTGGGTTGAAAAATGAAGTAATAATTCTGTGTGCACAACTTTTCATTTGCAGATTACCGACAAATCCTCAGTTAATCTTCCAACACAGACCTTGATCTGGTTCTTCAGATGACCTAGGGAATGCCGCTCTTGTGCCGTGTGAGGGAAGGCAGAAGTGGCTGTCTTGGAAGACAAGATCTGATGAACTCTACTTGTCTGGAAATACCAGGTGGTTTGTGTTTTAGAGAACTAGTCACACCTGATTTACAATGAAGGGCAAATATCGTTGCAGCGCAATCCAAATTTTTGGGTCCTTGAGAGGACGATTGATATCACCAGATCAACTGACTATAATGGTGTCCGTTTTTAATAACTTACTATCTATTTCTCTTCAGGTGATCATGCTCCAGTAGATTTACACGACAGAAGCAACTTGGTGTGATGGTAGCTGATGGCGAGTGAGGTTCGTGAGGTGCGCATTGACAACGACTTCAAAGAATGATAAGGCAACCATAGACTGCTTTTTGGTATTTTACTGTAGATTAACCTTGCTCGCGCAACAAGATGTTGACCAGAATTTCCAAACTTGTTCTTCAAATTATAAAGTTTTGAGAAGTGTTGACTTTCTCCCAAACTATAAGCAGGCTTAACACACTACGCAGTTGGCCTGGACCGAATGAGGAGAATGTCAACTGCACCTCATTTATAAGGAAGGCGAACATTCATACACGGAATGTGGAAAGGGTAGTGGATATCTTCAATGGCCATTTTTCCAGCCCGGGTCCCATCGTTACTCATCTTAACGACATTGATACAGAAATAGTCGGTTCACAACCTCGCAGTAATTCGTGGCCCAGCCGATGCTTGTATTTACTTAGACTGATTTTTGTTGTAGCCAGCCGATGAGAATGAAAAGATGTGTGTACGTAGAAAATTTATCTCATGCCTGTTACCTCCAGCAATCTTTTTGTTAGGAGGAAATCTAACTCACGTATTTGGACCACAGCTCCCGGTCAGTCACATCGAGAATCGAAAGGCTTCTGACTTCGTTCTTCCTATGTCAATGATTATGATAAAGAATAGCATTTTAATAGGAAATTTGTCACTTTGAAAGTGTAAAACAGCCCAAAGAGAATTCTACTTTAAAAAACCCAAAGCGATGCGCTTACTTTCCCGGCTGTTGCAGAAAAGTTTTAGTGGAATGTCCACCAGGTCCGATAAGAAAACCAACATAATTAATGCATGACCCAGTGCGGCACATCTAACACTTTGCATCGCGCGGAGTAAAGAGTATAAGAAAATGCCTAAGTGGAACTTCTGCAGTAAGGAAGACTTTCCCTATAGTGAATCTCAGTCACCGAGAGTGATGTGAAAATGTAATGTTTTCCTACTCTTTTTTAATCACCTAAATCTTAGCTGCTTTCCACGCCGTTTTTACGTGTTCTAAGTGGCCGAGTGGTGATTCCCCGTCCAAACATTTTCGCGTGGAACTTTGTTGTTTATCCCCAAAAGGATAGCGGAATCTGTTAAGTCTGATCCACAGTCTAAAGACTGACGAAAAAGCACTGGACACAAAGACCCGAGATTTGTAAGAGTCGGTACATTTTGAAATTGTGAGAAACACGGCTAAATAGGCCATTCATCAATGTTCCTATCGTTTGCTTTGGTTGGCCGAAGTTTTGGAAGAATATTTCACTTTGTCTGAGGCGCCCAACGCAACACCCACTTAGCCATTACTTAGTCCTAACGAAAGCTTGGAAGGAAAAAACAGTCGGTCTTGAATTGCTTTCTGCTTGTCTAAGGCTGGAACAGTGCCTGTTCGGTGCCCAAGGGCATTCTTGAAGTGCATTTCGAAGGCAAATAAAGTGACAGAAGTGATAAGAATCTGCTGCTTTTCCCCTCTTCGGAGGTGAAGGTTATTGATGTCGTTTCAGTGTCTGTTGCTTCAAAATTTCCCACAGTTATGATCCGACACAAGCTCACCTGCACTTGCAAGAAACAGAAGCGTGAGAATTTAGCGGGGTTCCATCCGTGCAGTGAATGCATCGGCCACATAGTTACCTGATGAAGCCTTTCCAAGTACCGCCATACGTATAGAAGGTCAACATCTATTACCTTAGATATAGGTTCAGCTTTTGGTTTGGTTGACAACATTTTTGCTTCAATGATCTGCCGAAAGTTTTTATCACATTTCTAACATTCTTATAACTGCGACAGCTGTAGGCATATGGAATCCTGGGGGTCGTGGAAACTTATCAGAATTTTATTGGTACTGGTGCATGTCGTCTGAGAGGTTGGAGTACCAGAGGCCCATCACACAAATAGTTCGATTTACCCATCGATGTTGTGGTGTCCTGCCACACATGGTGATGTTTTATCAGTTGTATACTTTGTAATACCAACCCGCTGTTCTGTGGTCATTTGTTTTTTGTACCCGTTGGACTCTACACTAGTTACTGCGGCGACAACAGTAATCCCAAATAGGCACAGAATCCCTTGTTTTCGGACAAAAATAAACAAGTACATGATAAATTGTGCATTTGAAACAAGTACAACCACCGCCTGACCTTGAACAACTGCTTGACCATACAACTCATAAACATGATCGTACAATCTGTAAAATGAGACAACGAAATGGAATTGAAATATCGACGCCGTGACTAACGATGACTTAATTTCGAAGCCACAGATAAAAATTAAAACCGATGACATGGTACAAACAACGATTATTGTATGAGGAAGTAGAGAAATGAAGCAAGTAATAAGGGTGCCATAATGTTTCTTTTTTCAAAAGAGAGGACAAAACCAGTAGTAGAATTCAGCATTTTCGAAACGGTCATCCTCAAGTCACGCTGTTACGCAACCTTCTAGTGCTGGTCTTTTGCCCTTCGATTATTCATTGCACTTTGTTGCTTTGCGCTCTGCGATAATAGACAAAAGGTAAGCAAACAGAGAGCTTCCAGCAGCCACAAAGTTTGCACAAGTTTTTTATCAGGGCGGTAAAATACGCCCCAATATTTGCTCGGGCGTTAATTGAGCGAACTGGGGACCAGTTTTACTTAAAGCGAGACGGTTAAAAAAAGATCCTCAAAAGCAACTGGCATTAGACACGGGGAAAATACATCTTCCTAAGTTAACTATACAAGCTGAAACGAAGATGCTGGCTTTTTGTCTCAGGTCAGAATTGACCCAAGAATCCATCTCTGTGTGCAGTCTATGGGTTGAAAGGAACAATCCGCAAGTCGCACGACCGATCGGTAAATCATTACAACTGGCTGGAAATATATAACATCTACTGCTTAAAACTCACTGTCACAGCTTACGTAAACATCAAATTATCACCTCATCACTTTGCGTATTTGTGTGTTCGTTATCATCGTGGATGACGTTGAAGCTGTTGATCACGCAATCTTCGTTTCCTTGCGCGTGCCCTGTCGATTCATTGCGCTTAACATGGCTTAAGTTGATCCTACACGGAACTGAGTATTAGTTGTTTCCATTGTTGTATATAAGATGGCACGTACCTCTTTGTCCGGCTAAAATGGGTTTGTGGTGCCAAAATGGAGTTTCCAGTGAGACGGATAAAATACCGCGTTATACACATTCGTCAGCATTTCCACTCTTTTCTTACAAATACGTTGAAACTTTTATGCCAAAAATTTCGTCTCGGAAATTTTTGTGTACTTTCCAAACCGATAAATTCCAGAAACCCTTTTTGCTCGTTTTCACCATATGTTGCTTATGTGCCCAGGTTTCCCGGTTCCAGAATTGATCAGAATCCTGCTCTACAACAGATCAGGAGGAAAGAATAACAGAACACTAGCATCGTAGGCAAATCAAGCTCATTGTGTGTAGGTGAAGGAAAAAAGGGAGTTTAAAGAGAAAAAGTTTTGTTATTTTTTTCGGATAGATAGAGGAAATGACCGCGTAATGTATTTACGAAAAGTCAGCGAGATTATTTTGATCGTTCACTTCTACTAAGACCGGTATAAGAGTAATTGTTCAAATGACTAATCCAAATACTCTTGCAAACTGCTGTCGGAATGGTGACACGATCAACCCCAGGGTTAAAACTGTATACTGGTGACTGCGTACGGTTCAGTTGCACTGATCAACAGGCAATCATTCGCACTAATGTTTCACCGCAAATATATCTGTTTATAAACCATTGAAGAAAGATCATTTGACTGGCTGCTTCAAAGCCATCCACTCTGATCAAGAACACGTTGAAGACATCAGTTTGGGCGTGGATTAAGGACTCAACTATTCGGAAGGGACGATAATTTCTGGTTGGTCCTAGCCCCTGTTAAAGTCGAGTAACTGGATAGGTGTCGAGATTTCGTCCAGGATGAGTTTAACTCACAGTCTTCCGGATAGTAGTTGAAGGATGAACGGTTTGAAGATTACCGGCTGATTACCAGTGTGATTTCGGTTGGACGGCATATAGCGACATTCATTCTTCAGTCGCAGAATTCGCCTCATGTGGTCATATGTTGACTTGTTCCTCGAATGACAACTTCTTAGATGAAAGAAACGCTATCGGTTAGACGGCATAGAGCGACGTTCATTCTTCAGTCACGGAATTCGCCTCATGTTGTCATATGTTGACTTGTTCCTCCAATGACAACTTCTTAGATGAAAGAAACGCTCCTCGTGGTGCGATATTATTCCGTCTGAATTTCTTTTTATGTTGATGATAGTATGAGAACTGAAATGAGCACTGCTAATAACATCCAATATGGATGAAACATTCCCGTGGTAATTCATAGCCTTTCGGACAAACAGATTTCATTCCTAAGGTGAAATCTGGATTGAAATTTCTAAATCTCCTTATTCTTCCGGAAAAAATGGCTTGGAAGGAATTACACTCAGATTGTCGATCCATCATGGAGGCTCAAAACTGAAGAAGTTGAATGGTTAAAACGAATGCATGGGCTGTATGCGTGTTATTTTTTAGTGGTGATTTGTTCTCTACTAATAACCACAACATGACACCATCGGTTTCGCCTGACGAAATTCAAACTGGAGTCAGCAGATAAGCAAAGCTAAATCCAATGGGCAAAATAACCAAGGACCCAGAACACTGAATGAAGCACATGAAAAGGTGTTGAAAAACAGAGCACAACATAGCTTGAAATGTGCGACTTAGCTCTTCGGGATCCAGTTCTTCCCTTGGAGGCAGCTTGTAGAAGCACAATGACAAAGAGCTCCTTACTTAAGATAAAGCAACTAGAAACAGTTACTGTAAACCAGCGAGGGTAGGGTGTTTATTCTTGAAGACAAATTAAGTGCCCAAATGTGCAGCTCATATATATGTGTAAACCTAACGAGTTATTACGGCGCTTCGCTTCCATTTCTAAGCGAAAAAAACACGAAGAACTTGATCCTTATTTTACTATGCCTCATCTTTCTTCCATTACTGTTCCCACATCCAGTTTTAAAGACTGCCAACACTGATATATAAAAACTATCGGGTTTACAACCGTTCCAAGTCTTTTGGTGTAGTGAACATCAGACTTCATATTTCAATTTCTTCACATATTTGCATTTTAGGCGCTGTTTTGCTTCTATGAGAAAACTGTGGACTATGATTTATTCATGGGTGAGTTCCACCTTCATAACGGCTTTCTATTGCACATGAATGTGTAATTTTTTTAGGCACCAACAACGTCCAATCAGTTTTCGAGATAGGTTCATCAATAAATCGATTATAAAATATAATTAATCCTATCGTTTTCTTGAGTTGATTCGACATAAACTTGTTCTTCAGTGCCTTGTGAGGCACATAACTAACTCTTGACGGTTTATAGTCACTTGTACGTGAAATGTTTTTAAGAAGGAAACGACATGGCTTCGTACCAGAATGATAAATTCTGCCATAGTTTCCCTCAACAATGAACGTTCCCATAAATGCCTGCATTGGAATGTGCTGCATATGTGCTGAAGTAGTGAAGCCTCAATTAGTACTGCCTACCCAACGAGAAAGTCGTTTCTCCTTCGGATTTTAGCATGCAACTGCAGAAGCAAGTATATTCAAAGAAAGGTATCGTAATGACTAGTTCCGCATAAATTGTACCGACAGTGGGGATGGACTGAATGGATGAAGCGTCGTTAAATCGTCTAATTGGCAGGAAGACCATGCACATGATTGAATTCGGTGCAAAAGCTAGCAATGAACAATAAAAGACATCAAACTTTGTCAAAGCGGGAGTTTACCACTTGGTTGTTGAGCACAAAACATGATGATTTAGGAAGCCAGGCAGTATGAAAAATGCTACAGAGACATTTTCTGGATGCCTCAACTTCCAAAGACGTGATAACCCTGGACAAGGTACTCACTGAATTTCGCTGATTTTTGCATCCATTTCGGTTTGATATCATCAGAACACCCAGAACGTCATGTTGTATGTCTAAAGAGTGTGGAACACCATAAAGGCATTGAAAAACTCACGTCATTTTGCACCAATACATAAATTTTTCTTTGTTTTTCATTCAATCCTGCTGGGTTTCCATTTGCAACTGCTGTCTTTAGTTGACTGACATCGTTGAACAGACTGTTCCGGCTATAATCGTGCCTTGTCTTTATGTTACACACATTTTCAGAGGGCTGTATGCGTGAGGTTGTCAGCCAAATATATTGGATTAGCCACAACAAGCACTTTGGAAATCAGGCCATCTTTTTTGGCCTCCTTTGCTCCAAATTGACAGAGAAATTTTCAGAGACACGAGTTAGGAATATTCTAAAACTGGGTTTTACCAAACAGCATTTTTCTCCCACAGAAGTAACGTGTTCATTGGCGGTTGTCCATCATAAATTTGGACATAGTAAAAGCTTATTTTGGTAAAATAAAACCAGACTGGATGGAGCAACAAGATAGAACTTCTCTCAAATAACAAGCACATCCTACCTTCGTGGTCCCGCGTATCAGATGTGGCTTTCTGCTCATGTGACCTTGTGCAGCCTAAGTACAGTACTCAAATGAGTTGGCTCCGTCATTATTGTGCGTTGCGCATGGAGACGACCATCGTTAATTTGATTTACAAGCTAAAAAACGAATTCTTCATCGTCAAATGTGCGCGTTCCATGGTAGACGGCAAGTACCACTACAATTATCCTGACGGAATTTACGTATCTTACGTCCTTGAGTGAGGAAAGCAAAATAAATTTTAAAACATGGCGACACGTCTTCTCTCGGGACCCTAGGACCATCAATGCATATTCACCAGAACTCATAGCTGACAACCTCGTGAATGCTTTTTACTTTGCGAAAAATATTTCCTTCCATTTGATGATGAAATTGTGCACATACAGTGGCACTCATGCACTTCTGTTTGCCACATCAAATTTGTTTTCTGGCCCTTGTCTAACCGAAATGATGCAGCAGGTTGTGGGTCGCCACTTCCCAGATTTTGGCGATAACCCAATTTGCTGACTCATCTGCTTGCCAAATTCTTTCAATCACAGACACACCGACTGGCTAACTAGCGACCGACTTGCGTTCAGTGAACAACGCATGTAATTAATGGGCATGGGAGAGGGCAACGAGGTATTGATTAAATTCTGCTGCCTCCGCCGTAAAAACTAGGAAGTACGAAGATGACTATCTTAAACAGCCCACGCCAAAATTTCATGTTATTCCTAGAAAATAGCTTAGCCTAAATGTAATCTAATTTCTTTCTCTAAATAATCTTTGGGAGGGAGAGTATTTTCGATGTTTAGCTGTTCGGACGAAAAGAAGCCGAGTATAGAAAAGACCTTTAATCCAATCCCTGAGCCGTAGTGTCGAAATGTGCGGTTGTTCGAATAAATGATTTCTCAGCCAGTGCTTGTCACTTTGTCGGTGACTATCTTAAGCAGCCCACGCCAAAATTCCATGTTATTCCTAGAAAATAGCATAGCCTTAATGTAATCTAATTTCTTTCTTTAAATAATCTTTGGGAGGGAGAGTTTTTTCGATGGTTAGCTGTTCCGACGAAAAGAAGCCGAGCATCGAAAAGACCTTTAGTCCAATCCCTGAGCCGTAGTGTCGAAATATGCGGTTGTTCGAATAAGTCATTTCTCAGCCAGTGCTTGTCACTTTGTCGTTGGCACACGACCAAGTAGATCTAATGCCCTCTAGTTGAGTAATATATATGTCTCTCGGGTGCATTGGGCCTGTGCTCATCGGAAATCAAGAATGCTTTCTGAACCAGCAGTTGGAGCTAAAAACCCAGCCATGAATATCTCATTTTACAATCGATCCAAGTGTACCATCAAACTTTTATTTTATCCTTCATACAGCGGTGAACAATGCATGCTTCGTTTTTGATGCACGACTGGCTGTAGACATAAACTTCTACACAAACGACCGCGCAGTCCGAGCAGCTGGTCCAGTAACAAAACTACAGCGAATTTACTACAATGATCAGTGGCGTCATGAACTGGCGAATAGTCAGGAGGTTGGAAGATTGGTGCGTTTTTGTTTATTTTCTGTTTGTAATGAATGGAATCGTAGCCTTCTGGAATACCACCTACGAAGCTGTTGACGGAATTCCTATTTTAAAATCTACTGGAATTACATATGGTGACAAAATTTTCACAATGCCTAATCTCAGTTTTAATGAATGCACAGGTTTGGCAGCGACACTTCATGAGGAAAAGCTTATGAATAGGAGTAACCTCATTATTATCCCGAAGTCCATATACGTAGTTGAATTAGGATTCCAGGAATCAAACAGGTACACATTCTCCTCGATGATGAAATCGTGGCAGGATACCCACATTTCATCAAATTTGTGTGACGACGTTGACAACTGGCATAGGAAAGTTAATGACCACGATATTATCCTACCGAAAATCTCTCCTTGGTGGCGATTCATGTTACAACTTGAAACCTCCCTAACTGATAATACCGTAAGAGACAGGAAGCTTCTCATAATACTAGGTCACTAGAAACAACTTTTCTAGTACGTTAGAATACGGAAAGTTAGGATGTTGTTCTGACATGCTGATTCTGATAGTAGAACCTCGAAAGATGGAAAAAATATATAAAAAGGCTTCTTGTTCACCAGAATGAACAAAACAGAACACCGATTTGATCCATACAAGAGTTCAAACTGATGCTAACGCAGCATCTGTTAGTGGTACAACGATGAATGTTGTTGGTGAAACAGTATAATCAATAAGACTACTGATGCCAGTATCGAAATTACATTTTATACCCTCTTATTTAATCGAAAGTTAAGTTTTCGTGACAAGAGAGTCTAGGTAAATCTAAGTATGCCTTTCGCTTACTAGAGTTTTCAAAATACTGTGGTGAACACAGGCAGTTTGATGTTTTACGCAAGATATGAATGCAAGGTATGAATGCATTTCTGCCTACATGACGCCACCCATCAGGCGATAAAATTCCAATACGGTTTTTTTCATTCTTGCTATTCATCAGGCTTGCTTAGGCCCCGGAGTTCCATCAGTATTGTTTCCTACTTGAACATCAAATTGAATATGTGTAGCGACAAAAACAGCTGCAAAATATCGTATTTCTCCATTCTGTTTGGCCATAAGCGGATGCAAGATGGCTAATAGTGATGATGAAATCCATCACATATGTGATAAACGACTCTTGAATGGATCCTACTCTTTGCTTCCAAAATGTCAATTTAGTGTTTTATTTGGCCTACTGTTGTGTACGTAGAAGAAGCTCATCAACGTAACAATAAAATGCAGCAAGGGCGGTGAACAGCAATACACAATTTGCTGATGAGTTGGGTAGCTTATTAGTTTCCTCCACAGGATGCATGATTATCCCGACCCCACGAGTCCACTCTGACACAAAGTACAGGGTAAAGGAATGAAGCGAATCCAAGCGAAGCCTTGGGTTTCTCTGCTGCCTACATCTCAGTCATTTCTCAGTGGTAAATTTATGTAAATAATGCGGAACTCGGTGTCTAACAATCTATCAGGTCCAACAGTCGTGAATCTCGATAGGCTAAACAACATCTCAGCTTTCATTGAACCAAAAATCACCTACTGTAATATGCTGACGCCTTTTCATTATTTATTCATGAGTATTACGTAGGATGAGCATGCAAAGTGGTGAATCACTGTCACTTGCGAGAATGCATCATGCGCAGAATTACTTACGCGTTCAGTAGTGGTTTTTAGACGACAGCCAATTAGCCGATACGAAAATTTGGGTCACATGTGTGATTAAAAAATACTTTTTTTTTGAATCATACTTCCGTAATCAGTAGCCAACATCTACATGACTTTCGGCTTATAGGAATTGCATCTGTGTTTAAAACACTCAGAAGTCATATCGGATGTTCTTGGCCTCCAAATATCAGTCACACTGTGCATGCGCTTTGTCACACAATGCACATCATACCTAAGTATCGTGAACCACAGAGACCGCTGCTTGTGCCTAACTGTCTGTCGTTTCGTTTCACGTGAAGCGTTCTCCGATGTCTCGTTGTATATGATGGTTAGTGTGATGTCGTGTGTATTTTCGACGAATTGCAATGACTACAAAATGCTGGGAAATTTTCCATGCTTATTTATTTGTGGTATTCAAGTAAGAGCTGATAAATGAAATCATATTTACCCAGGTTACCAGAATTTTTTCGGCAAAACCGGCTAAGTGAACAAGCTAGTCTTTTGTACTTTAGAAGAATGGATTTTAGATATTCGACGTTGGAACCAGATTTTGAGCATGCTTTAGACTGATCAGGGTTCTTCCATATAGTGAATGCATGTATTGTATACTGCTCATTCCAGTGGTTGTCACATTTACACATTAGATACTCGACAATAGAAGACTGAATGCAGTTATTACGATCCAACACAAATCTTGATACCTGTAGTTTTAATAACACCAAACCACTAAGCGATATTAGAAGACATGACATTGTGAGTGAATTTTACCTCCCTCGGAGCACAGTCTTCTGATTGTCGTCGACTAACCGTAAAAAACCGTTTTTAGCCTCAATCCTGACTCTACGACGCAATTACTTCAAACCACTAGTGAAGAGTAAAAATTACTTGGTTGTTTCTTCCGTACTATTTACAATGCATGTGGAAAGTGTGCGTCAACTTCCGAGCGCTAGAGTGCACTAGAAAATTAGTGCGGACTCCATTGTCGTCGTAGGCAGAAGTACAAATATGAAACCGGCTGCCGTTCAACTGTATTCGGATAGCAGCAAGTAGATCGAGTGCGAATGGCACCGACTGGGGGCTATATCCTGGTGCAGCCAAGCAACAGAAAAAGACTTTTCTTTATTGTGTAAACATCTTTCATCCTGCACAAGTCCCAATCTGTTATTGTAGTCTTGAAATCGGCCTACATTTAATAACCTTTTTTTTGCTTTCATCCATCTGGAAGTCCCCTTAGTGCTTCATTGAATTCTAAACTGTGAGTGGCGTACAATCCACAGCTTAGGTCAGTCAAAATAACTGCTTTTGATTTCCTCACAATAATGAGTCAAGACAGTTCAAGTTAACTCATGTTATTAACCGCGAATTGAAAACTGCCTTCACGTAATATATCTGAGGAAGCAGTAGGAAGACCAACAACATCGTCCAGAATGTATTGTCCCAGCTACACGTGCCATCCAGTTGGCTTTCACCCGAGTGTATTCTTACCTACATTTGCATGCTTTTTCTTTCAGCTTGGTCAAGAATTATTGAATCTATTCAATCCAGCTGTGGCTACCCCTGAAAAGCCACAGAAAGATGATAACCGTTTACTACCTCGGTTCGACGAACCCAAGGTTGTTGGAGGCAGGCTTCCCGGAGGCTTTAATTACCTCTACATCAATGCACCAACACCGAATGATTTGTCTACAGAACTTTCTGAAGATCACGCTGGTGTGAGTTGATGCCCGTTATGTTTTGTCTAGAAAAATAGAGACCAGAAAACCTGTTATTTGCACTAAAATGTGGTTGCACATTATTCACTGATTATTTTGCCTGGACCAGCGTAAATTCTGAGGCCATATTACACCCAACGTGATGTTGTTCCTATTATTCACTGAACTGAAAGTGATTCTCTTGACGAATGTGGACATATTGAACCATCACACCCAGATTTTCTAGCCTGCTGTGAGTGTATTCAGCCATAATCATCTAATGTAGTGCCGAAAATTTTCCTCATAGCAGATTCAATTCATATAAAAAACGTTTGTATCGGCGCACATGTACTCAAGTAAATTCTGAGTTAGCGCAATACACTCATTTTCATAAACATGCGATGCAACTGGTTTCTATGTGGATGTTCTCTCAAAACCAAATAGGTGTGCAAACGAGTGTTTCACTAATTGCTTGCCATTTGGGTTCAAGTAAAACATAAGTTAGCCAAAAAGTAGGGGACTACGCCTACCTGATGAGCCACAAGGAGGATGAAACCGGCCGTGGGTTGTCGAAGATTTCTTGACAACCTTGTGAGTACGTCTGTCAATGCCAAATTGCTTTCAGCAATGAACATTCCTGTGCACCCTGGAAATCATAACCACTATGTCAGGTCTGATCAACAAGTTTACGGTTTGCTTCCGTCTGGCAGAATGATTACGAATTTGAACCGATCTAGGATTGGTGTTCGCAAAGGCCATCTCTTAATGCCTCTTGGGGATCGATGGATTAATTATGTGACTTAAATCAGGAAGAGGCATTCCGTCTGTTTTATCAAGCAGAGTGGATCAAGGTGTCCAGCTGGTTCACATCTTGAATTCCTTCGTATGGTAATGTCTGAAAGGCTCAAGTACACTGTAACTATAAAATGAAGCAATCTTCCCGAAGTCCCAAATGATATACATAATTTACCTGAGTTGCGTGCTTTGACGTCGAATGAATTTCTCGTTTGGTTTGTTTAGGTGATCACTGAATTTGAAATCGGAGAAGGATCAGATTTTCCATACAAGAGGTCGTCTAATCTAGACAGTGTAACGACAGTAATATCACAGACAACGAAAATATAACAGGAAATTCCCTCTCTTCTCTCACCAAAGATGAGTGTTTGCTTGGAGGGTTAATGAGACTGTTTGGTTTCAGTAACACAAGAAAATGTTACAAAATCCTTGAACTGGGATGGTACGTTTACTCTTCTATCACTTTGCCAAGTTATTTTCGTTGAAGTTTTATAGATTTTGGGTTTGATAATCAAACAAGCTACAGGCCCGATGCAAAAAATGAATGCATTTATCACGAAAATCAGACTGTTCCCTAGAACACTTCTTTCAGGGATTTATTCAACTCAAGTTATCTGATGCAAGTTTGCATTGTTGAAAATTGCACGATACGCAGCTATCAGAGGTTTCAGCTCTGACCTCTTATTCAAAGTTCCAATGCTCTTCAGCATCCAGGCAACATGTTTTGCTGACGATTTCTAACACAAAAATGACGGTTTTCAGTTATTTAACTCTCAACTTGGGCGCATTTAGTCAGTCAGAAAAGGAATTGTTCGGGTGTTTTATCTTAGTTAGCACGAGTTACTTAGACGTGGCTGAGTCGGTCACGTGCTTTTGGTGATACTTCGAAATAACGGTAGCTGTGGTCCATTTACTGACTGTCAAATGGTTCTCGATCCGTTAGCCGACCAGACGCTATCCCTGGCTGGTGACGGAATGTCTACTGATTATTCACCAAGCTCGGTAAACTGATCAACATCTACCTCATCAGTAGACAGCCGCGTGTTGTTTTGGCGAGCCATATTCATTCTTATCCGAAGTACCTATTTTAGATGACAGTGGTCTGGTGTACCGTGTATTATATGTAACACATATTAAGACAATACCTGGATTATGCTCTTGCGACTATGGAGAATTAACCTGTAATTGCGGTGATGGGATGCACAATCGACCTGGATACCTATATCTTCTCTGTCCCAGACAGAGAATAGGTTATTGGCCCATTGAAAAACTGAGAAGATTGAATAGAGCAAAGTTTTCAGGATTGTAGATGTGTTTTGATGGTTGTGAGCACATCTTCCGTCAGGCAAAATAGGCTGGTACTTCAATGAAAATGTCTATCGAGGAGAAGTCTTTTCGCCCGGTATTTTTGTATTTACTGTTTTCGTCGGTGCAAAACTCCCTTTCGTATAAAATATGAACTGTCAACGAGATATACCCACGGGGAATACCAAAATATCCTTATGCATAGAATTCCCTTTTTTAAGATTTTGAACCGATTGGCTTAAATGCCCAAAACCGGTGGATACATTTTTTCGCATCCTACCGGAACTCATAGACATGCGAAATGGATTTAATAAGTTTTCAGGTGATCGATCTGTGGAATTTGATTTTTGAAAGGAATTTTGAATAGCTGATATCCAGACCCATGTTACATTTGAAGTATGTACAGAGAGATTATTGTCTGGTGCTTGATTCCCTTCGAAAACTCGATAGGTCTAACTGATGGGCAATAACCTCTTAGGAATTTCCCTCACACATTAGGGAAAGTAGGCTGGTTTCGTTCACATTCACCAGAAAACAGACCGAGCCAAAGAACTACAGTCTTCCTTTCATGCCACTCAACGTGCTGGAAAGTTTTCCATTTGCTTTAATGAGTGGCAGTTAAATGCAGGCGCAATCACGTTGTTCAAAGCTTTGTATTTTAATCTTTAGATCAGTGAAGCCGATGGACCCCACTTTACGTCTTGACCAAGAAGTTGACGCCTGCGGCTTTAGCACAAAGAGGTCACTTTTATGCCCTCAGTGGGCTATCGGAAAGTTTTCGTCAATCATCTGAGTAGTTTCATCCAAGAAAAAATACTGCGATATCTCAAACATTTTGCCAAGCGAGACTTGAGGTGGTCTTCATGCAGCATAGTCAGTTGATAAATGTTGTATACGGGAAATTTAGCTAGGATTTAGTTGAGTCCCCAGTAATGCTCAAACTAGTGTGCAAATTAATGCGGCTTAAAAGCATCTCATAGAATTTGTTCACTGAATTATCATTATCACATGTGGTTAACTCTGATCTTGGGTAATGATATTTAAGACAGAATTTATTAAGTTACATTTCAACGGGTAACGGAGATGACTTTTGGAAATGAAACTGTTGAATCGAGTAAAGTGTGAAGAATTCAACGCTGCCGAGATTCGACCGACAGCTAGTTCCATATGCCACCCTCAGTCAATAGATTTATTTGCGAAGAATCAGCTGCTGTCATTCATACTGATCGCAGAATAAAGGTTTTCCACTTTCAAACACCAAGTGTTTCCTTAGTAACCGGGACATATTGTGACACCACAAGTAACTGGGCAAGGTCGAAGATGATGATTACAGAAGGGACACTGTTACAGAGATGAGTGGATGCTGTCGTTTCATACGAAAAATATGATGTGCTGCGCGTAGTCTGTTGTGCGAGTGTGGTTGACTGTTGTCCGGTTCTAATTCACACATATTCATGAGAGTCAAGCCTTCTAAAGTGAGACTGCAGGCATACAAAATACGGCATACGAATGTACACATACTACCTGTTACTTTGAACGGGGCTTGTAATAAGTGCAGGATAATTCTATCTTTCTAATCATTCGCTGCGCATTAGCAACCAGAATTGGCGGTATCCTTTTTATCTCTTTTCCTTGTTACCATAGCTCAATTACGCACAGGAGTATCATTGCTGTTGCATGTAACTGTTTTTAAAATTTAAGTTAAATTGACTGTGAGGGTGTGAATGGGAATCTGTGTGCAACTGTTATGGTCGCAACAGATACGTATCTAACTTCTGTCAACACCATACATCTTCTCTGGAGTTAATGATCAGAGTTACTGTTCGGCCCATTTTCAGAGCCTTCTGGCACTACAACAGTTTAGCTGCTGACTCAATGTAGGAACACAAAGTAACATACTTTATGTTCTTCCATTGTTGTATTCGCTATGGTACACTTATAGTTTTGTCGTCTTTCTGACAGTGCTGTGAAAAAAGTGAAAACTTTGAGTAAATTTTGGTATATGGAAGCGAAAGCTACAGACGGTCGAACACTTGAAGAGTTGTTTTAATACAGCTCGAGAAAATTTAGGATTATGTATAACACAGATGAGTTCGTTGGTTTATTGCAGAAATGTCTTATGGTAAATTTTGATGTGGGTGCTTTGAAATATCCTGCATTTATTAAAATGGATTTCCATCTAGTTGAGATGAAGGTCTGTTTCGAGATATCGTCCTTTACAATTCTCCCCATACGTGCTCACCGACGGAGTTCAGAATAGTGGTGTATCATTTTGTGAATTTGGAATGACTACCGATAGACCGGTTTGGTCGCATTGCCAATAACTCAGTGAACAGGTATAAAAAGTTCACTAGGATGGTTCAGGTCTCGGGTAGTAAGTTAATAGATCTTTGCTCAAATGTATCACAAGCGAAACATCTCTCTTTAATTTTGACTCCTGAACATTAGCATAGACGCAAAATTAGATATCCCATTTTATTAGAGCTGACGATGAGTGATTAAAACAAGCCTCACTGTGACGGTCCGGCACCAGTGGCCCGTGAAAAGGTGGATCTGGCTGAAGTCAGCAGTGCATGTTTACAAATTGCTGTCGAGGTACAACGTTACACTAATGCGTCAGTAACATCATTTTATACGTCTGCAGATTTAGAAGGAGGAATGAATATCGGGAGATACTTGAAAGCACGGTATCTCTCTGACTAACGTGACTGTTTTGAACGTATTTATCTAGTGTACTGGAATATTCCTAATTTTCTCAGATGTTTCGGCGATAGACCCGACGGAATTCCAAAATAGCCATAAATGATGTGTTTCCTATCCAGGCCTCCATTATCTAACGGTAAATTGCACTGCACTAAACACAACATTCGAGAATTGACGGATAATGTGATTTTAAAGCGTTTTTGATGGTCCCATTAACCTCTTGAATCGTACTAGATGGCGTCTATAAGGTATTCATAGGGCAGTCAATCGATGTCAGTGGTGTTCTTACTGTCAGTTTCTCCCCGGATTGTCTGATTGAGCGGTTGGAAGTGTTGGCACCTCAGAATGCTTGACATAGGCCAGCACTAGGTCCTTCGCCCCACCCACTCTTTTCCTCTTCTTTTTAATGTATATATATATATATATATATAACTAGATGAACCTTATGGTTGTACGGCAGTGAAGCATCAGTGCCAACAGTGATGTTGCTGTCTTTGATGATGATGATGATGAAGGGCTCCAAAGAACACAGCATCCTACACGTCTAAGTCGGACACTGTAACTGTGCGGCAATTTGAAAACCACCAGCAACTGCTGCTGGTGCACTACTGTTCATGGGACTGAGTTCACCTATGGCTAGGAAATGAGTTCCGGTCGGTTTTTCTCAGGACCCAGTTCGTAAGAAGATTCGAGTGCCCGACAACACTCTAATTAGTATTTTCCCAATCAATCATCTGGCATCTACTGCCCCGCGTGATGCTGTCGGCCAGTGCTGTCGCTGAAGAAAATGATCTATCCACATTAATTTACCATAACTTGCATGTTTTCATGGTGTCCCTCATATGTATAATTGTTTTGTTCTTTGTAATCAATTTTCCCTGAGGAAAAGACTTGTCCGTCAGTAATTCTGGAGTGTGTTTCCTAATCGACTTAACTTAAACCATGTGACGTTCACGAGTTAGACTTCATTGATCTGTTGTTTTTCTAAACCTCTCCGAATACGATAGTGTAAAGCATCTATTTAACTCGGTCGGCTACTACGTGCTCTCAGGGTTCACAAAACTTCTTTATCCTTCCATGAAAGAAGTAGCTAGTTAAATAAATTGTCACACGTATTACCACCACGACAGCATTGACATAGTCGGTGCCGCGAAGCACTGTCAGGATTTAAAAATTATTCATGAAGTTGACTGGAGCATCCATATTGTCAAATTCACAGGACGCAGACTCATTTCATTCGGATTGCCGGCGGCGGACGTTTATGTGGTTGAAGGCTCAGGAGTACAGTTCTCCTGTGATTTAGTTAGGCTGAGTACACGGTTTGAAGAGAAGAACCAATCAGATCCATAGGCACATGAACGAAGTGAGGCGTCAACTGGCAGCAGACACTACAAAAAAGAATAATTATCAGTTCAATCAAGCCCATTCAACCATTTGGGGTATGAGGCCACTTAATTTGTGGAATGCATATTCACATTACTCTTCCTCTTCTTGGTGTGGGCTGATCAGAACAAAAAGAGGGCCCGAATAGGAGTGGTGTGAATGTGAATTATACAAATCCCGCAAATATATAAAACATGAACCTGTACCCAAAGTCAGAAGCCGAAATTTCCATTTTGGTACAATTTGGTTCCACATTCACTCTCAAATCTTTACCGGACGGGCTTGGGGCCTGTGGCTCTCTAATGTAGCGGCAAGTTCACTCTTGCTTTGTTTGAGCAAGGTTAACGGAATAAAACCAACCAAAATGAAGTGTAAAACAGCTTTATTCCTCACTGTTTCAGGGATGTCTCATTACCACAGGAACCGCCGAAGAGGGAAACGGGTACTTCAGTCTCCATATTAACAAATTTGGCACCGTGCAAACAATCACATGCCTGTCCAAGAAAGTGAGTTTTGTCGTCTCTCGTGTTGTTGCGAATTCCTCTATAAATTGTACTGTTGGTCAAAATGTGAGTAGCTGAACTTGAAACAACAGGATCACCAATGAAATGATTGGATATTCCGCTTACGGCAATGACACTTGCTCGTTGTGGACAGTATGAGCAACTCGAATTAACCAGTCAATGCAAAAACACTGTTGTCAAAGAATATACATATTTAGCTAAAATCCACAAACTGCAATCAAAAGTGACACTGAATTTCACTGATCTGAATTTCGAGGCTGCGGTTTTTTGGAATCCCCGAAGCATGCTTTTCAAATGCAACAAATCAGATTTTCTTCATCTTATCTATTTCATTTGGGACAACTGTCACATTTTGTAGCTACTCAAAAAGTCTGTCCCTCAGGTGGCAAACTGAAATCTATTTAATTACACAATGTCCCAAAATCGCCTTGGGGCTCAGCCGTAAACGGCCGGTAGTCACGGATTTACAAACTCAGAAAAATTAAATACGACACCATTGCATGACAGAACGTCTTCAAGTGAAGTTGAATGTTGCGTTTCACTTGATTTGTGATCCACTAAATCCAGTGAAATGTCGCTCGTTGATTACTCAAACTTGTGAAAGGATCTGATCAGTCAATCTTCTCATCAAAAAGCTCATCTCAAAATCTACCAAACGGTATATAATCTTTAGAGCTGGGTCGTTTCCAAGGTAGGGTCGCTTTCGGTGCCAACTATTTCTACGCCCATCAAATCGGTGAATATATTGTCCTCTTACATAGGAAGCGAAAAAGCTGGGTTACGGTACATTCATAACACAGCGGATGTCTTTTTAGATCAGCGTTATGAACTATTATGCAGAGGTGCTTCGTGATCGACGACGCTGGTATTTAAGTATGTGTTTGCTGTAGTGCGACATTCCACCGTTCTACATAATACATACTCAAAGATGTGCTCTGCTGACCGTATCGAAACGGTTTGGTCAAAATAGATTTAACCACATTTAAAAGCGGGCTGATAGATAATGTCAGACATTTATACAATGCATTTCGAAAAAGGCTTTAAAGTTAATATTCATAGAATTCTATACTAGGCACACTAGCGCTCCCAGACATCCATGTCCAACTAAGTTCCCTAAATGCTGATGAAATTAGTTCGCGAAGTGAATACCATTCACATTGCAGGGTGATTACAGATGTATCGGAATTCCGCCGACTACACATCCTGGTAAATAGTTTTGGATATCTGATGGCAACGAGGGTTTTTCCGGTGAGCTGATACCTAGTTTCCAGTTGACAGAAAGTGTAGATTACACTTGCACAGTAAGCTAGATTTCTTACCAACCAACCCTTTTATAGGTCACGATTTGAACATAAAGTGGTTTTGCTTTCCTGTGTGAATAAATCTGCAAATCACACGGTGGTTAATTCATCTTTCTGAGCAGGATATCCATAAACGGCAGACGACGATTATCACTTACATGACGAACAGAAATTCATGAATGAAAGAGTTCAGATGGCCAGCAATAGTTTTGAAATATTGAGTATCACTGATAAGTAGAATGCAGCTTACTTGTTGCGCAGAGTGCAATTCTTGCGATATCATCATTCTTAAAAAGATTTCAACCAGGTTTGGCCCGTAAAACTGTAATCAGTACTTCCAAAAGTGAAACAAATGTGATATTTATACATAGTGAAATATCGAACGTGACCATGTTGGATGCACAAAAGCATACTGGATGTAGAATTGTGAATCTACTTGTAACTGAACAACTGTGGGTATGGAACCATAGGAGGTAAAAAACAGATTTCGAGAACTGACAGAGATGAAATCCAACATTTCTAGCGAAATATCACGAAACTGCGTCCAATGGGATCCGAACTGTCAACTTACTACCCTGTGCTTGCTAGAAATCTGATTTTCTCTCCAACTGTCATTCTGAAAAGATCTCAATTTCGTGCGGTATTCCTTTCAATTCAACCTGATAAATTCTCATACTTTGCCTGGTCATATCCAGTGCAATATTGTTAACGACTTAGATTTCGTGGGAGCTACATGTCTGAATTTAAGCAAACGTTGAATCTCAGTCAAACAAAGGAACAAGTTAGTTTTGCGATTTAAGACTGATTTAGACTTATTTCCACATAACATTTTAAATGATGGCCATCGAAGCTGCATGATTGTAATGCTTGCAAAAATTCCACCAAATTTAACGTCACATATGCTTCTATTGAGAAATGCTCAGCTTGTATATACAGACCAGATGCTCTAACATTTCGTGTGGCCAAGATTTAGGTTGAGCTTCTCATATACGTTGTAATAATAAAGACAATCATTCAGTTGTACCGGCATTTCGATGCACGGCGGCCACGCCATCCGACAGAAGCGTAACGATCGCCCAAGTCTAAACAGGAGTGGTCCGGATGTCGGGATTTGGTTCGAATCACTCGTTTTCCGGTAAGTCAGTTCTCGCCATAACCACTGAACTATCTTGAGCTCATATTCACTACACAAAGCGCTTGTCAGTCCCTTCACTATGCTTTCATGAAAGTACTTACAATTATAACCGTACTAGTTGGTTTTGACGCACAGGCTATTATGTTGCAATGACGCTGATGCAATAGGTTCCTCTAATCAGTAGCGTTTCGAATCTTTGTCTGTCTTCCCTTTTAGGAAATTCCAACTAGCAACTACATTCAACTGTACAGTGTGCACGCGAAACTCTTGAACAAATTAGTCAACCGTTATCAAGAAGGTCTGATCACGGATCTCTACGAGTAAGTGTCTTTTCTTTCAGCCTGGGATCGTCGGCATATGCAGAACTTATGTGTATACTCCAAGCGAACTGAGGAATACTTCAGATTAACATAGACGCAAGTTAGACATCTGGCACCAAGGTAGCCCAGTCACTGGTTTGCTTATTGGATTTCATCCTCCGTGCATGAGATTCTACGGGGTTCTGCAGCATTCGTATTTCGTTATTTCAGCCAACAAATTCCCGTTTATAACTAAGGAATATTAATTGTAACAGTGATGTTGAAGCACCATTCTATAGCATAATGTCACAAGAATGCATCTCTATAATGTGCTGCTCACTGTGATTGTACTGGAGTGACGCTTGGTAATAGTATTAAGTAAATACAACATTATGTACTTGTTGCGAAGAGTATATGGGGGAAAATCATCACACTATCATCAGTGAGGTATCATTTGCATAGCTAGTTCTCCGACATTTGAAGCACATTTCGAGTGGATGTAGGTGCTTGAACTAAGTGCTGGAGTAACGCTATACTTCCAGTCCAGATAAATATTCAGGTTACTACAAATGGGCACAAAATGTTACCTTAGGGTGCGTTTTCGTCCACGATATTCGCTGTTTCTTTGCGGTGCAGTGTCAGGCAAGAGTGCGCCCGCAGGATTTTAAAAATATACCAAGACTATAATGCGATTTACGCCCACTGTTTTTCGTACACTCACTTGTGATAATCCGGAAGACATAAAACCTTTAAGTTTCGTTGGAAATCAATGAAGGTCCTATAACAAAGTTTGACTTTTAGAAAAAAAATACTGACGTTAAGATCAAATGTTTTGAGTTGCTGCGTTTCAGGCGAATCAAGTTGGAAATCAATGAAGGTCCTATAACAAAGTTTGACTTTTAGAAAAAAATACTGACGTTAAGATCAAATGTTTTGAGTTGCTGCGTTTCAGGCGAATCAAGTTTGATTTTGCCCTACTCAGCTAATCAAAACTTGTATTTTTTTCTGAATCACTTCATTTTGCAAACTGATGGATATCTACTGCTTTGATTCTCATCGAGGTGCACAGGAAACTCGGTGGGTCCGAGTTTTGTTTGGGCTACTCAGTCAATATCCATGATCAAGTTATAGCGACTTCACTACTCCGTGCCTCCACAGAGCTGTGAGCGGAATGCGTGGATCACATTAAAGTTTCCTAATTCTGCGGAGTATAATTACTGCTTGACGGGCCATTACATCTTGGAAAAATTAAGCAACTCTCGCAGATATCAGCGATTCAAACTTTCATCCTCTGACTTTACTCGGGCCTTATCGACCAGTCATTTGACCTCAAACGATAGCTGTTTCTCTTGTGTAACTCCGGGTTGCGCAAAGGTCACTGTCAATTTCAGTCTAACGAAGACTTCTGGAGTTATGCAGATGAGATTGTTCGCTTTCTTGTCAAAAGTAGGCAGACTGCATTAGTTTAGAGATGTAAACTACAAAGCATCAAAATGAACAAAATTCATTGAAACGGATGTCGTGGAAAAAATATTGGCCTCTATACATGCTCTCCAACGGCCTGGAGAACACATTACTGGACAGTTAGAAAAATCTTGGTCACCAGCGGAAGTTAACTCTGCGCAATGTTGATGGTCCGGCCTAGGTCTGTTGGAAGTGAATTGTAATTCCCCAATGAGTAAAATTGCGACGTCTACCAACGAAGTGTTGTAAAAATGCATTCCATGATTTGTACATCAAAACTTTACATAATTCTGCTTTTCCAGGAAAGCAATATTGAAAGTACTGGGGAGATGAAATTCAGTCACTGGTTTATCAACCCAGGTTGTCGCTTGAGACTTAGACTCCTGATTGTGGTGGTTTTTGTACCTGAATTGATATGCAACAGATGGGACCTGTCTCTGCCGAAATACCTAAGACGAATCGCTTTGTTATTGCCCGATGAACTGTATGCCACTGAAAGGGGAATGAAACCAGTATAAAAGATCTACTAATCAGCTGGTCCGTAATCACTTAGTTGGGTCTCATGACGAAAGGTAACGGGAAACTTTACTCAACAGAAAATCCGAAAGGATCACAAACAAAGTTGTGCGTATTTATAAGTTTACCGGTTGCATCAAAGTTTTCAGCTCACCATGAGTGCAGATCAGTAGGATCGTTGTTGGCACCTGATTTTCTAGCTGAATAAAGTCTACAAGGAAATTTTTGTTGCAATAAAAACATGACGGAAACGTCATGTAAAACTTCCATGGGAATTACATCATAGACCTTTAGGGGATCTCTAGAGTGTTTAAAATTCAACTACATACTTGACACAGGTACGAACTTTGAATTCCTTTATCTTTCTGTAGAACTACTTCACTGATTTGTTCCTTGCTGATTTTCAACTTATTTTGTCTTGCCTGCACTACTTAAAGAATGTGGAAGGATATCACTTGCAGAGAGACCATTTTTTATGTCAGTTTCGCAATTCTTGCACTTCTTATGTGTATAAATAAGCAAAGTGTAAATTGTGGTGGCCCAAATCTCTTATAAGACGATGGTTCTAGGAATTCGATTCACCTGCTGGAAAAAGGTTTGAGACGTTTTCCAGCGCAACTGTGCCGTTTCCAATATGGAAATCGAAAACGAAATTTCGCATGCCTTCCTGAAACTCGAAAACAGTTCCATGTGACCTTTTCTGTGCTTTAGTGGAAACATGGCGGCTAATCAATGTCAGCGAAATTTATGCTGTCGTTTTTTTACCCAAATTGTCTGACTGTTTTCGATGTATGCACCTCGAGGACTTGTGGTAGGCAGGCCCTAGGTTCCGTGCTCCATTTTCGTTCTTTCCATCATAAACTTTATAGAAATAAATTTACACGGCTCTAGGGCCGTGTAACTCATGTGATGATGATGATGATGATGATGATGATGATGCAGCTATCGGCCTTGAGAAATTCTTTTCTATTTGTAATTGCCTACCCTTAAGCCGGTGAAGGGGACCTAAATGGAGGACGGCTTCTCGCTACACATCGTACAGCTGTAAATGATTATAACATTAAAATTGTGGTTTTTCGCTAAAATAACACTGTACTCTGGTGGGTGCATCAGTACTTGCTTGATATTAGATTGGCTTGTATACATTGGTTACGCTTGGAACATGAGGTTGACGGAAGCTCATGTACTGCACAAAACTCATGAATTCCAAGAAGAGTTAAGGCGGTGATGAAATAGCTTTGAGTTAGGTTCTGTCTAGACCACGTGTACTGTTTTTAGGACCGGGGATAAGTATTCCCTTGATGGTTTTGTTCACTTAATGAGGGTATCTTGACGGGTCGATATGGACCTCGGAAACTGGACTTGATGGTTGCTTGAGGACATTTGTTTGACTACGTGCCATGTAGCAAAATGGTTCGATTTAATTAACCAGTTCTTACTAGTTTTGCCCATCAGTAAATTTACGTGGAACCTCTAGTAAATAAAATGTTACGGACGCAAACAACATTTTTCTTTTCCTGGTTTTCATTCCATTGCATCAGTTTCTTGAATGATGTTTGGCCACTGGTCATCTATCATGATCGTTTTCCTGAAGCCGAAGCAGAAGCACACGATATGCTCTATGAACCATCTGTGAGTTCACCACACAGATTGAAATCCTTTCATCTAAATGTCGTTTATTCCGTGAATTACAGCTTTCTTTTGCTGCCCAAAATATCTAGCAGACGAAATGTCTTGGCTTAAATTTTCCCGAGATTCAATAATATTAATCAGTCAAAGACCACTTGGAATAACCTCACAATGCGTTGTTCTACACAAAGAATCAATTCAGAGTTTCCAACCTCTTATGATTTCAAAAGGCTTACCAACTCCATGTGCACTTTACTAACCAAAATGAACACTAACAACGAGACAAGAATGAGATAATTACACATCACTTCTGTTTAGTCAGTTTGAAGTAAAACTTTTCAACAAAAGCGTGAGTATCAAGAATGTACAAGGCCCTTTCTCAGTGTCTATATTTCACGTCCTCCCAACAAAACGCAGGCATCTGAGAGTGAATTTTAAGCAAGCGAGGAAGTTTGCGAGAAGCAGACAGGCAGACTGTAGCAAGAAGCTGTAGACGCATGTACTTTTCGATCAAAAAGGTATCGAGATATACTAAGGAGAAAACAATCACGACGGTTTCTGGTGTGAAGGGACATCAGGTTGTTTCTATTCTGAAAGCGGAAAAGGATTAAGATAAACTGAAGCGAAGGTATTTTATGCCCAATTGAAGTGAAACAAGTGTTTTAATGAGCAGCATTTTCTGGGTGATAGAAATTTTGTGGCCATGTCATAACGGAGGAGTCCTTCTTAAGCAACTTGGGAAAAGAGATGAGGAAAGCTGATCAAGTTAAGTGCATTTAAGTGCATTTATTATGTCAGAAACCCCACGGATAGCAGCCTGACTCAGACTGAGGGGGTCAACTCAGATGTGCTCAAGTGTTCTCTACCAGATATTTCGTTGTTGTGGGATAGAAAGGTCTTTGAAGTCACACAAGTTTATGACTTCGCCTGCCAGTAATCGGGTATATATTTAAGGACTGTAAGCGTCGGATAATGCTCATCAGGTCAATTCATGAATACTGTTGGTAGGTCCTTCAGGAGTGATTCCGGGACGAAGTATCCGAAAATCACACTGGATGAAAGAACCAACGATAAGCCTGCATTCGAAATAAAGAATATAATGAGAGGCATGACAACTTGAAAAAAAATCGGCTGGTGAAACAGTTTGGGACCTGAGAAAACGAACTCCGTTTAACTCAACAGTCTACACACAACTGAAACCTTACATCTGAATCTTTGTTGTCATTTACACTTGTAGGATCCTCAATGTTGTCGCTAATGGTAAAGGCAACAGAGTGTCTTCCAGCGCACACTATGGTTTTTGATGTGTGAACTGGCGTCAGCTTATCCGTCTCATCCTAATTGAGAGCCTGTTTCAGATGGGTTCGCAGGTTATGCGACGGGTGGAAAATTAGCATTTTCCTTTCAAATACGGTATTACTCCTACTACCCTCTAGCTATCGGCAATCCCTGCTGCCGAGATATCGGTTAAACAGAGTAGTTAATGACTCATTGTCGAAGTCAGCACATTTTATGTTTATTGTAGATGAATGAAGTTTGTGGTTACCGGATTTTTAACCCGAAGTTGTTCAAGTCACCTGTAAACTTTATTAAATGCATTACTTGCTGCATTGCCAAATTCATAACAGAGTCTATTAAGATTAGGGAATTGGGACAAAGGCTCAAAAAACTTACCACCTAGCTGCTCAATATTATCCCACACTATGGAAAAGTTCGTACCACCAAGAAGCTTTTGGATTTGGATTCAAATTAGGCCTTCAATCCTTATTTCGCTTAGTGCCATCAGTTCACCGAACCTACAGATCGTACCCCTTCCTTCAAGATGTACTTGAGTAGAGAAGACGAAATCCTTCAGGTCCTATACTAAGCTGTCTCCACACGGAAACGGAAGTAAAAGCAAACTGATTTGCTGGTCTAATACTTATAAAGTGCACAAGTGTAGCTGATGGAAAATCAGTGACTGATATCCTCCAGCTGACTGACATCCCACTGCAATCAGCTTTAATTTAGGCATCCTGGCAATATTCCTCATAAAACACCTGTATTTACTCCTAGAATGTGCTTTCCAACGGAGCAAAAGAACGCGGCCGTCACAAGAATCTAGAAGAGCGCATAGTGATAAAAATAACGCAGTTGTTCACTGCACAATATATTTTGAAGACGTTTATAGTAACAAAAGGCCAAACAAAAAGAAGCGAGACTCGTCAAACTCACTGGAAGGTCATCCAGAGGCTAAAACAAGCACGGGTTCAAATTCAGTGCACAAATAGTTCCAGTGGAAAGATGCTTCATTATAACAAGTGCATGATGAAATGTGCTCGACCCTCGGACCACTAGTTTACGCATGAAGACGGGTTGATGGTTTGAGTAGAGTTCAAACGGATCACTATGAAAATTCTACTTGCATGTGTGGGTCTCGGCGTTGTGTTGCCTATGCAAATCGTTGATAAATAATATAGGCTTACATAAGCTTACATGTTCCGTCAACAACAGTTTTCTGACAGTAAAAATTCCGCAATCTTCCACGGTAACTGGCATGATAGCCACCTATGAATACACCCAACCATCATCATAATCGAACTGCACAAAATGCTTTGGAATGAATGTCTTATATATTGAAGTGTAAGCGGCTTTCACGTAGAAATACTACCCAAGTGTTGGTATTTTTAAGGGGTAGAAGCACAGCCAACCTATCAATCGGGACGACCACTGACAGAATTTGCAATCCGTTGAAAATTTCATGTTAGCTGGATACCATCCAGTCAGTATGTTGTTTTATTTTATTTCCATAGCGTTCAGGAATAACACAACTGCAGCCGAATACCAGAACCTAGTTGGTTTATACGTGACTTTAAGAAATCGGAAATACAGTACATTATCATGATCCTGAAATACTTAACAGTATTCTCCCGGTTCATGACAAGAAACACTGGATTTCCTGCACTTATGTGGAATTGAACTTAAGGTAAAGGCATGGCGCCAGTGGGGAATTTCGTTCAATGCGGCACACCCTGAAAAACACATAAGCAAGACCCATATGACAGTAAAAATGTCTAGTTTTTTGTCCACTAGTCAGGTATGTGCCTAATCATGTTCGAAGCTCACACTCATATGCATGCGATCTGTTACTGACTCTTGGTAGCCCATCTAAAATAGTATCCGTTCAGTTTGCAGAAAGCTCTGGATTTCATATCGCCTAGTTTCTTATGCTCTCTCACTGATAGCAGTAGTATGTCTGTGGCCATTTGCGTTCACTAGTCTCTTAAAAGGCGTCACAATTAGACCGGTTTCCGGAACTCAAACGCGGATGGTAATAGGTAAATCTCTCTAGTATCTGTTATGTGATTGTTGTCCCAGCAGCTACTCAGTCAAACACGATGAACAGCACCTGCTCTTATTTATTGAGCAATCAAGTATTCATTAAAAAGAATTCCTCTTAGACTAACTCGTTTCTTTGTCCTTGAGTGTGTATAATCAGGCGATGTTCTCTGTATAGGAGAATGCCGATGGCTCGTTGAAGCAGTCAGGCGAGGCGAATCACCAAATGTATGTTCATCTCATTGTGAGAATACATACCTCGTACAAACAGTTGACACACTATGTGACTTCTTTTGAAGATTAGTGCACAGTAAATCCAGTATGGAACTTGTGATGGTCGCAAATAACAGTGAAGGCACAGTAAAACTTCGTTGATTTGGAGGGCTCGATGTATGTGTTCCATACTGCAGTCACACAGTGAATCCGTTCGGCAAATGTAAACGAATAATCCCATTTTGGTTAGATGTTTTTCCAAAGTTTTCCTCTGTATTGAGTTTGCTGAATTATAAAACGACCGGCCAAACAAATAGCGGTCAGTAATGTCTTGGAACACTATTTTTATTTGATTTTAAACAGCAGCGTGACGAGACATGCCTTGGAAGTCTGGTTAGAAAAATGCTCGCAGATAATGGGGAGGTGAGTCGTCGAACATTTAGTTTATGTCGATATTTGGTATATCAGAACTTTTCCGCAAGTACCCATTAGTTATTTGCAGTAACCTGGGACGCTTTTTCCGCACACACAGACATACCGCTCTCGAGAGGAGGCTCCTAGATATTTATTAGCGTTAGCTAGTTTCCTGAGGTGTGCATCACTAGCCCATTTCTATATAGAAGGAAACGTTTTTGATTATGTTTTGTGTGAAGCGAAAATCTGGTTAGGAATTGATAATTTTCTCAATACTGTTGTCATTGGAAGTGAAACGGTGGTTAATTTTCCGGCATTATTTCCGTCCAATCAGCCTAAAATATATCTTCCGCATCACAGCTAAAAAGACATCTTGAAAGAAATTAGTTCCTTTTTTTCCAGAGAAACGAATCATCTGGCTGTCTACTGTGATCTTTCAACGAATGGATTATAGTTCTGTCAGCTATTAGCCTGTGGCTACTCAGGACGTCTAAAGATGCTGAACATTGCGATCAAAGTTGTTTTACCAGAAATTGCCACCGTGTGGACTTGGGAAGGGAAGATTTTTTTGAGTTCCAACATTTGCTATATTTTCGGAGCGAAAAAAATATTAACCTTGGCTGCGGTTACTCCAGAAAATGAAAGATTTTCATAGGACAAAACAGCTGACAAACAGCTGATCTGAAGCACAACTTAGCTGAAAAATTTACATTGCGTATTATAGCCTTTGTAGGCAAGCAGAAGTTTTGAAAATTAACAACGGAGATGGAAAAGGTCGTGAGCCATGAAAGAGTTTCAGGCAAATGTTTGCGCACATAAAGACCAGTGTATATGAAGAACAGAATAGGCAACAGGTTAGACGGATTCACTTAAGTACCCCTTCAAAACGAAACTCGTATGCAAATGAGAGTACTTGGTGTAACTGTTGACGAATTTTCTTCGTCTAGAGGCCCTGAACACAAGTTTATTCAACATTAGTGAACACAAAGTTTAAGGGAAAGAAGTCCTCATATTGTCGTACATTTTGTCTTGTGCTTGGTTAGTGTGGAAATAGTATGGATTCTTCCAAGGAATGCACCAGCCACCTGTTACTCAGTTTGCTCAGTGTCACCATTTAGGTGCCTGCTGACCAGTAACCGTTGACAAGTATAGCCGGCGTTTTGCCAGGTCATCGACTAAAAAATAAAACTACTCAGCAAGTGATAAGTATATATATATATATATATAAGAATTGTGCAGATGCTAGGAAACTGTGAAGTATGGGTTTCACAGCTTAATGTCCAGTCTCCTAACTTTGGTCAAGCGGCTGGCAAATTAAACGATAGTCTCAAATAAATGAATCTCTTCCTTATTACGCCATCACCTTATGATGGCTTTGGAGGTATTGAATATATGTTAGGGTAACGCATGCTATGCGCTATGCGAAGTCCGCATGAATAATTACAAATTCGAGCTTACTCAGTGTGTCGTTTGACTAAGAAGTAGTGCTGAGACGACTTGAGGCTAACATAATTCCAAGAAATAATGGATGAACTCCAAATTGACAAGTATCCGTTTCCATCATAAAATTCATTGCAGAGTTGTTCGTTTTGTTAACTATCTGGCTTCAGTTTGGCAAACCACAAAAATTGATGACTCGCCGAGGAATTTTCTATCAACAGGTAGTCACTGCTTGGTGGAAGAAAATGCACTACCATCAAGAGTTTCATTCATAGCCGATGCATCATCGTACGGATGTTTACGAAAGGATAATTCATAAAATACTTTGAGTTAAATCAAACCCACACCGACGGTTTAGCTTGTAATGGAATAGACAGCCAGACACTTTACTTGGTTCACTTTCCCCGTCGCCAAGTGAAAAGCTAACATTTAACTGTGTATTTTGTTACAGAACGATGGAATCGTTACAGCGGCACCCCTTGGGCTGTATTTGCTGCACTATATTTCGTCTTCTACCAAATTAGGAAATGAATACAACGATATGCGAGGTAGATGAAACCCCGGGTTTTGTGACTCATATCCCAAACACTGCAGTTCAAAAAACTCGCATTACTTAACATACCTTCCTGCCAAATGTGCGCCTGCAAACGTGTGAAGCGTCTTTGAGACAACCGTAGTGAGTAATTAATCCATTACACCTAGAGACGTGAATAAACAAAAAAGGTAGCGTGCGTCTTACTCGAGCACGCACAGTCATTAAGACCCAGTGATCTGTTGAATTTGATTGGCACAGGGAAATTTACCTTCAAACACATGAGCCGCAGCCCAACAGTCGAGGCCGCTGAAAACAAAGTCTTGATAAAAAACCTCAAGACTTTACTTTTGTCAATTGACCATATCAAAACGTGCAATAATGTGAGTTATTTATTACTTTCCGTTCCAGATTACACCAGAAGACATGAAAAAGTTGAAAGCCATCTATTTGGATGAGGGCTACAAGCAGCGGGTTGAACGCCATCTCCTGAGTTTCATCAATAATAACTATAATACGCTACCGATGTACGCCAAGCCAGACTTAGTCTAAAGATATACATTTGATGGCTAAGTCAGGCAAGAGGGAACGTTGAATACAGTGTTTGAATAGTTCATAAAGTCATGAAACAATGAGACAGAACTTCAAAAACCAGTTGGGCTTTTTCCGTCCTATATAAGAAATCGATTCAAACGGGATGGGCAAGCTGTACTAAATAGAAGCATACAGCTACTTGGTGTTTACAGTAAATATATTCTACACACTGTCATGCGGCAGATCCCACCAGTGCCATAAAGCTTAAAGATACCCTACTAGTTTCCTCATTTGAAATATAATTTGATACCTGAGCTCAGTGAGTTAACCGACCAGTTATCTAACTACAGCTGTCTCACCAACAAGGCTGACAGCTTAAGCCTTTAAATGACGGGATTTGAGAGTACCGGTGCTTTTAAAATATAGGAGAATCCGTTTCTCATCTTATCGAGAATGTGGGTCAATGAGATAATCTTAAATGAGTTACCTTTAAAGACTAAGTATTCTACGTAAATGTGATAGATGGCACTAAAGAGTAATTTGTACAGAGACTGAATATGGTGAGTCACAGAAGTGCAGTGCATTACTCTACAGTGCTTTATACCGCAAAAATAACTTGTTTTCGGATTACAATACTAGATTTCGATGAACATGTATTAAAAGGTGTTTACTAAATGAGACGCACTTGAACCGTTTGGCGAAGACAGAGGCGACGAGCAGCATTTGTTAAATCACCATTCTTTTCGGAAATGTTTTCCTGTGGCCTAGATTTTAGCAGCGCTTAATGAATTTCATTACTATGTATAAGTGAATGAATCTCACAAAGACATCTGTACACCAGCCTTATGTGCTCACAAGGGTGAAGGTTCAACAGCGTCTTACCAGACAAACAAAACCCACTGAAGGGTTATACTAACAAGCAAGCTAGTCAAATAGGTTACAGATGTTGTGATATGTGGCCATCAAAAAAAGTAGCCCTAAAAATTACTCCTGTATTTTGGGAAGAAATAGTTTGCGACTTTTCAGGGCGAAGGTTTTTAACTAAGTTCAATGCCCGTGTATTCGTCGGGCAACACATGGAGGACAAGCCTCCTTTTCAGACCATCTCTAAGCTTGTTCATCAATTTAGCGAACAATTAGGCAACTATTCGAAAAATGTTTGAACAGATTCTTGAACGATAAAAATGTGCCATCAACAGTCCACTTTTTACTCTGTATGCTCGATACGGGACGCCATGAAGTTCACGAAGTTCCATCAAGACAACTAGACGTAGGACTTTTGTCACTGCCCAGGTCATTGGTATATGTGCTTACGAGCACACGATGAGTACTGCATATAACAATGATGCTATTTTAAGATTTTTATCAAAGTCGGTGGGAATGGAGGATTACGGAGTATAAGGCTTGGGGCGTGAGCAAGGAGAAGTGTTGGAAACTATGTATTTGCCTGTGTGAGTTGTATATCTGTATTTAGCTGACGATTCAGACGGACTGTTTCTGAAATGCGATGACTGGCTTTACCGAACATGTTGAACGTTTCAACAAATGGAAATGGATTGCGATTAAATGTGAGTAGCTAAAATATGCGGTTACGCTGGCATTTAGGGGATTTCTAACCTTTACCAAAAGTTTCATAAACCTATGAGCCTCAAAATGCTATCTGAAGGCAGTGAAAAAAAATCAAACCATCCCCATACTGAAAACTAGAAAAAGCGTGGAATAGTTGAAGGAATAATTTTTAAATTATAACTGTAGATCTTCAAGAGCCTAAAGAGCCTTCCTATGGATGTTATTCGGATGTTCAGAATTATTAGTCGCAGGAGCATCGAGCATACCGAGTCGCTACCTAACCAGCCAAAACCAGGAACTCTTGCTTTTGAAAGTAACAAGATCTGGGCCCGAATGACCTCTCAGGAAAATCCTCCTTCATAGGCACCTCATACCATTTGGTTAACTCAAACCAATCTGAACCAGTTTCACTCCTGAGTGCTGAAAATTAACGTGAACAAATGTATAAACTGGGACTGGAAAAGTCTAGGCTTCCACGGTTTTAGCTGATTGGCGTCCTACCAAACGATAATTCTATCCAGTGTCAACCAGTTACGCAAAGACCTCACGGTCTGGAGTAACAGTGCAGTATAGTCCAGCAAAGCGGGACTCAAATAGAGCGCGGTTTTCTCTAGATGGTGCGAACCTTTTAGGATATAGGTACTACGCAGTTAATTTGGGTCAACGTAAGCTGATTCTGATTTCTGCAGAGCATCACATTCAGGAATGCTAATCCAATCACTTTGCACTATCTTACTGTGGCCTTTAAATGACGGTGGGCGCCTCACTAGTTAGTGGATTTCACCTGGTCAACGATATTCCGAGTGTGGTGCAAATATATCATCCACGTAACGTCTATAGATCACGGGATCTTGGGTATTTATGATGAATTATGGTTTCCGTAGCCCGTAAGTTAATCATTCAAGACGGTTGGAGAGGAATCCCCATCGCAGAGGGAGGAGGTTAGATGATTTGTCAGATGGGATTCCCAACTATAAAGGAATTTTCATAATAGAAACACAAGTAATGTCCGAAATGTGAGTGAACAACGGTTCTACGTAAACGCCATCATTACGTGTGTTCCGTTTCAAAACTTAGTGCCGTTTCCACGAGTTCACATTCGTCTCTGAGGCTAAGAATGACCAACTGGGATCCCATAGTTGCAAGTATAACCACACTGAAAGGATGTTTGAACACATTCTTGAACGATAAACATGTTCTATTAACAGCCCAATTTTTATTCCGTGTACTCGATGCACGACGTCAAGAAGTTCATGAAGTTCCGTCTAGACAACTATATCTAGGACTTTTATCACTTCCTAGACCATTGGTATCCGTAATTACGAGCGCATAACGAGTATTGCATATAACAGTGATGTTTTTTTAAGATTTTTATCAGAGTAGGTGGAACTGAAGAATTGCGGAGCACAAGGCTTAAGACGTGAGCAAGGAGAGGTGTTGGAAAACATGTACAAATTTTATTCGCCTGTGCGAATTATATATGTGTATTTAGCTGACGATTCAGACGGACTGTTTCTGAAATGTGATGAAGGCTTTACTGAACACGCTGAACTCTTCATCGAATAGAAATGGACGCGATTAAATACGAATGATTAAAATATGCCTTTACGCTAGAATTTGGGGGATTTCCAACTTTTGCCAAAAGTTCCATAAATCTATGGGCCCCACAATGCCGTCTGAAAGCAGTGAAAAAAAATCAAACCATCCCCATACTGAAAACTAGAAAAAGCGTGGGATAGTTGCAGGAATAAGTTTTAAATGATAACTGTATATCTTTAAGAGCCCGAAACGGTTTTCTATGGATATTATTCAGCTGTTCAGAATTATTAGTCACATGACTGTCGAGCATACCGAGCTGCTACCCAACCAGCCAAAACCGGGAACTGTTGCTTTTAAAGAAAGCAGAATAAAAATAACAAGGTCTGGGCCTGAATGTCTTCTCAAGGAAATTCTTCCTCATGGATCCCTCATACCATTTAGTCAAATCAAACCAACCTAAACAAGTTTCACCCTTGTGTGGAGAGACATACTGAAAATTAACGTAAGCAAATGTATAAACTGGGACTAGGAAAGTCTGGGCTCCACGGTCTTAGATGATGGACTTCCTACAAAACAATAACACCATCCAGTGTAAACTAGGTATGCAAAAACCTCACGGTCTGGAGTAACAGTACTGCATAGTCTAGCAAGGTGGGTCTCGAATAGAGCGCGGTTTTGTCTAGACTGTGAAAACCTTTTAGGATATAGATACTACGCAGTTTATATGGGCCAACTTAAGCTGATTCTGAATAAGGGCCCACGGCTTTCTCTGTGGGGCATCACGTTCAAGAATCCAAATCCCATCACTTTGCACCACCTCGCTGTGACCTTTAAATGACGGTGAGCACTTCGGGAGTCAGTAGAATTCATGTAGTCAACCATTTTCTGTGTATGGAGCAAATATATCATCGACATCGCGCGTATAGATCGCGGAATCCTGGGTATTTAGGATAACTTCTGCTTTCGTAGCCCGTAATTTAGTCGTTCAAGACGGTTGGAGAGGAATCCCCAGCGCAACTCCATAAGGGCATCTGTAGAATGTCCCGACAATTTTAGAGTAGCTTAGATGATTTGGCAGATTGGATTCCCAAATATAAAGTATTTTCCATAATGGAAACGTAAGTAGTGTCAACTAGTTATTCGACCGAAATGTAAGTGAACAACGGTTCGACGTCAAACGTCATCATTACCTGTGTTTCGTGTTAAAACTTAGTGTCATTTCCATGAGTTCAATTTTGTCTCTGAGGCTAAGAATGACCAACTGGGATCCCATAGTTTCAAGTTTTACCACACGCCACTAAAAAAAGCTCATGAAACGGAGGCTAACTCGTTCGTTATAGTGGGCAGAAATACCTATTAATCTCGTGCGCGTTTGAAAGCCCGCGGATACGTGGCTTATCTGGAGTAACCAGTGATAAATGTGTGGTTGTATCCCTCTCCTTTTCACTCAGAAATCCTTCCGGGAGGTCCTGATTGTGAGTATGACATCTTCTAACGCGGTTGAAAATACCCATGAAACTCATGAGGTGAACGAATGTGGTGGACAAAGCTCCTGGGTGTGTTAACCATCGGTCACTTGGAAATTCTGTGTGAATTTGCAGATACATAGCATTTAGAAAAGAGGGTCCATAAAGCAGTCGGCTGTGCATTTAGGTAGGCTACATCACTGTCAAACAAGTCTGTGGAACTGAATTTTCCATGGGCCAAATCAAGCTCAGAATTCGCACAAGATTTTGGATGCAGAGTTTACGCCATTCACTTAGATACCGATCGCTTCCAAGGACCATAATAGTCAGGATCGGAGTGGTCGTAAACCGATATATGACTTCAATGAATTGTTGTTTTTCCATAACATTTTTGGATGGGTCGAATGTGATACAGCGTCGCTCGAGCTCCCCTGCTGTAAAAAAGCAACACTTAGGTATACGAGAGTGTGATTTTCAATCATATCGTGGAACAAAAATATAAGGCATGGTGCAAGCACACGAATAAGTGCACAAGGAAGTCGGCG